GGGACAGCAGGGCTGTTAAGTGAAGTGTTATTTTTACATTTAATCGTTTCTCTCTTAAGAAAAACCACATCTTTCGACTCTACTGTAACGTTCAGAAATGTGATACCATCCTTACTGAAATTATAGCCAAATTCTGAAATATAGTCATGGATGATATTTTATAAAACAAAATCTATGGAAAATCCCTCATTTGTTCTTCTAGGTTACGTTCTTTTCATCTCGATTTGACAAGAGGGGCCAAGCCTCTTTCTGCATTGTTCGATGTCAGCATGAATTTTCAGTGGAGCAAGAAGTAATTTTAGTATCCATAATGACTTGCACGACAATTGGGTTAACAGCATGGAAAATAAATATTTAAGTCAACCTTCCCTGCAGGATTCTAAATACAGATCCGCTCGTCTCTGTGGCTCCACTGGCAGAAATGTTATGTTTCTTCAGCTTATGGTTTTTCAGAATTAGACTCAACATGGCTTTGCATTGGGAAATAAATCCACATTGCTTTATAAAGGGATTTTTTAATTTCAAATTTATTATCTCCCTCCGCCCTCCCAAAGCCTTGCACAGACTGTGGACATGGTTATTCTAGAAGAGTCCATCAGCCGTTAAGATAAACACCAGCCTGTATGTCCTGAAACAAATGCGTAGAAGACACAAAAAGACACAAGAGAGCGAAGCAAGAGAAGTCAAATCATCTTGCTGTTTTAACTCCTTCTTTTAGACTTAGCGAGGAATTTGTAGGGAGAATCTGTATGTGCAGAGAATATTTGCTATAAACAAACTCTAATGTTCCTTATTAATTCTGGTGAGTTCTGTCAGAATATAGGTTAGTTGATACAGATTCTGTGGACCAAAGAGAATATTTGTAGCTTATTGATTAAGAACTATACTCTATCAATACATGGCTGCTTTTCTAAACAAGACTTCTAAGAAGTCAAATTATATTCTGCAAAACACGAGAGCAACCTGATCCCAGCCAGCCCCCAAGGCTGCTGTGATGTAGAATAGGCCCTGGATTAGATCACAAGTTCATTCTCCTTTCACCTCCAGAAGGATGCACCCAAAAAAATGGCTGGTAACATGGGTTACCTATGGAGAAGAGTGACTGGGAGAGAGTGGGACAGAATTTCCTAAACAAGCTGTTGCTCGTTTTAAATTTTGTATCATGGGACTATATTCCCTATGCAATAAATAAAAATTTTGAAGTATTTATGCTTTATTTGCTTCATGAAGACAACTGCGATTCCGAAGCTTTGACTCTATCAGTCTTAAAGGTGAACTAGAAAAATCTCAGTAAATAAAAGCCTGTACATCTCAACTCAGTCATCAAAGGCTTTTCCTTGCTGCATCTTGGGGAAAAAGAGGCAACTGTAAGTGGCTGACAAAATCACTCTATTAACTGAAGATCTGGGGCCTTATGCCCAAATTCCCCCATTCCCTATGAGATTCCTTAAGAACACGTAAGCAGGAACATGTTTTTATCAAATGATTGCTTTACTAGGGCTGCTACCAATAATAATAGCTACCACTTTGCAACCGTGGGGAGCTTGGTCTTGGAGGGTAGAGTCTGGCTGAAGTTCTGGGCAGATGGAAGGGAAAGGCAGAAGCCCAGAGGGGCCACCGCCAAGAGGATCTGGAGCCATCTTCAGGCTCTTGCCAGCTGCTGGCTGGCAGGGCAGTTAGTGGTGAAATGGTAGACATCAGAACCAGAATACTGTAGGCAAAATGAGAGGTCAGACTGGGAGGGGCAGGGACACCTGTTCATTCACACACACACACAAATGACACCCAGAGGATGAACCTGACAGGCCATCCAGGAAGAGGGAGACTGCTATAAGGAAACAGATCCAGGGCAGTCTAATGGGAAACTGAGCCCAAGCATGTGGGACTCAAGATAGAGTCTGGGTGTCAGGAGTCTGGCCTGCAGCATCGAGGGACAAGTCAGTCAGTCCTCAGGTGCCTGGCAGAGCAAGACAGGCTGGAGTGAAAGAAGCACTGGATTTCCTAAGAGTTATAAGCACGGGGCTGCAGTGCACAGCGCTCACCAGGCGGTTTGTTGCTGGAACTGGGGCATGAGATTAGAATGAGACCAGCACAGGGCACGCTTTACAGGCTGTATGGGGAGGAAAAGGGTCCGCAAGTGGAGGGAAAGAACGTTGGAAGCAGAGAGCCAGAAAGGAAGAGAAAAAGGGACAATAAAGGCATGCTTTGTCTTCGGCATGAACCAACAATCTAGTTTTCCAGATTTCTTTACCTGCAAACCACATTCCCTTAAATATGTGTACTTATGCTGCCTTTTAAGGTGTATGTCTATTGCCATATTGAAGGTTTGAAGGTATACTTCGAAGTATATCATGTAACTAGAGAACAAAGTAGGTTTCTGCTTAAGCTGGACCCTAAATGAAATTAAAAGCATATCTTTCTGCCTGACCATAGCAATTTTCCCAGCAGCAAAATTTCTGCTGCTGCTTCAAAGATCTGTAATCCTATAGCTCTGTCAAGTAGACATGTCAGTTTTGAGGTGATGAAAATCTTCAGGAATTAGATAGCTGTGATGGTTGTCCAACCTTGCCAAAGTGCTAAAAACCACTGAACAGTAAGTATACTTTAAAAGGTTTAATTTTATGGTCCGTGAATTATATCTCAATTTTTTTTGGTGAGGGGGGGAAGAGTCACATTCAGGTGAAAAGTCATAGTGAGGTAGAAGCTTAGGAGAGAGAAATGGATTTTATATCTTTGAAAATCAATTAAAAGTTAGGACAGCTGGTCATTTGTGGAAGCAGTGACTTCCTTGTTTCTTTGAAGAGGTGCAAAGCTCCTGGGTTGGAGGATCGGTGGGTTGAATGAATCACAGCCATACTCCTAAACATGGAGTGAATTGTCTACATGTTCAGGTCAGGTATACTCAACAGGCTCCAGGGCTTGGAGCCCGGGACACAGCCTGTGACATCTTGACAGTGCCCCTAAGTAGCTACTTCAGGGATATCCCATTTACCAAATTCCCCTAAAAAGTACCTTTCTGTGTCTATAACACAAAGTATGTGCTCATTTTACTGAGTCTGTGGCTGCCCCCTTAAGGGATCAGAAGCAATTAATACCCTTTGTCATCTGAAATATAGTCCAACTTCGTATTTATCCTGTTTGCCCTTGTCATCAGCATTGCAACAATGTTCACGAATCCTTAGGCTCGGATGAATCCTCCTTTTTGACCCAGTTTGCGTGGCCGCATCAGTTTTACCACTTTGCCTCTTTCTTTGCACGTACATTGCACACAGAGGGAGACAGAGAAGGGTGGCATCTAAAACAGAGAAAAACACCTCAGAAGGGAGAGGTATGGTGGTTTCTTTTAAGCAATTCTTCCTCGGTCCGCTGGGCTCAATGCAGCTTCCCTAAGACTCTGGAGCATCCAACTGTGTTATCCGGTGTCCACAGGGAGTGTCAGCAGGGCCCAGGAAGCAAGTCCAAGTACAGCCTTCCTGGCATACATCACCCCAATAACACACTGGGACCTTCTCGTCGACCTCAGACTCCTCATAAGCCCTTTGCTGGCCAGGGTGAGGTCAGAAAGGTCCATGATAGCTGTGTGCCTCACACTCCCTGGGCTTTCCTGGGTTTGGTGCTTTCTTCATAAAGCTGCCTTCTGTAATGGAGCTATTTTGAGGACGCATGGCTTCTTCCAAGCCATGTTATCTCTGTGCCCTCCATCCGAGCACTTTAATATGCAGATGAAGCCCTCCCCTGACTGCCTTTGTGACACTGGGCTCCAGCTGGACTGAAGGTCTCCTATTGCCACCCAAGAGCTGTTTCAGGCCTCATTGCCCCTGTTCGAACTGTTCATATTGTCCAAAGTCTTCCTACTTCCTCCCGCTACCTCCACCTGCCAGTTTCTGTTTCCTGGTCTGGCTGATTTCTATTTATCTTGGAAGACTGATTACTTACCACCTCCCTTAGGAAGCCTTCCTGGCCGCTTCTGCTTCCTTCCCACCACTGCTGAGGTAGGGCCCATCTGGTATGTGTTTCATTCCATTCTAAGACCCTTGAGGGGAAGGTCTGTGACCCTGTATTCGAGGATGAAGCAGGGAACTTGCATGAATTTCAAGTGTGGCGTGCATACGTAGATGTCTGTTCAGCTAAGCCCAACTCTTCGGTTTCTGACATGACTGCTTCTCAACAGGAGTGTTTGTTTTTTGCTCACACCAAGAATGCTGATCAGGAAAAGAGCTTTTCTGTGGCAAACTGATAAGAATCTGGGTGATTACAGGCGCCTGGGCTGCTTTGTTTTCTTTTGTTTTACTCAGATGGGCGGATTCAGAAATTGGTATTTGTCTTAGAATCATACCCTTTTGAACCAGAAGGGAACCAGAGGCTGAGGAAGCTTAAACAGCTCCCGCAGGTCCTTCAGGCAACAGGTAGTGAGGGCGGAGCCCAGGAAGCCCCTACAACACCTTACTTTCTCGGCTTTTTAAAATTCTCTGAGTGTTTAACATGTTAAAAGGTAGTGTAATCCCAGCACTTTGGGAGGCTGAGGTAGGTGTATCACCTGAGGTCAGGAGTTCAAGGGGCCGACATGGTGAAACCCCATCTCTACTAAAAATACAAAGATTAGCTGGTGCATGGCTATAGTCCCAGCTACTTGGGAGGCTGAGGCAGGAGAATTGCCTGAACCTGGGAAGCAGAGGTTGCAGTGCGGTGAGGTTGTGCCATTGCACTCCAGCCTGGGCAATAGAGCAAGACTCTGTCTAAAACAAAAAACAAAACAAAACAAACAAACAAACAAAAAACCTGTAATCTCAACTCTCAGCTACTTAGGAGGCAAAAGTAGGAGAATGGCTTGAATCCGGGAGGTAGAGGTTGTGGTGAACTGAGATCACGCCATTGCACTCCAGCCTGGGCAACAAGAGCAAAACTCCATCTCAACAACAACAAAAAAAGTAATTTGGTGATTCACTTTTTGTTTTACCTAGTTTTATCCAGAAAGGGCTGTGTGGACTCTCTGCCTGACCTCGGTGTTCTTTTCAGGTGGCTCTGCAGATCGCTCCTCCCTGTACCAGTGAGCGGCATTATGAGCATCTGGGACGGTGCTGTAACAAATGTGAACCAGGTACAGCTGCTTCTGAGCCACCTTGCATTGCCCCTCAAAAGTGGGTGAGGCTTTCGTTGTTATATTTTCTGGCTGCCAGATGAAACAAGAAATTGGATAGACGCATTATGGTAGTGGCAGGTGGTAATGTCTGTCACTCTGAAGACAAAAATCTTTCTCTCAATAGAGATTGGAAGGGATTTTAAAATCCCTTTTGAAAAAAAAACAAACAACTTTAAAAGCTGTTGCTTAATTTGGGCTGAAACACAATTTTCTAAAACCCTATTTCTTGAGATGGCAAGAAGTTTTTTAAAACTAATATTTTAGCACTTTATGAGTCAAACTCTCAAAATGTGAAATGCAGCTCTTATTTAAAATTGTTTTCACGGAAATTTTATTTTGGAATAACCATACTGGAATTGTGGCTGCTAAAAATTGCCTAAACCCTTGTCGTACCTTTTTCCGTACACCTGTTGAGGAGCAGAAGGTGGACTGGCTACCACCTACCCCAAGTCGCTCTGCCAGCAGGTGTGGCTGAATGTCTGCAGCCCCAGTGAAAGCCACAGTCCACGGGGCCCGCACTCTCGTCATGCGGGGAGGGGAAGGTGGGTTACCTTATAACAAGATATTTTGGATATTTCAGCTACAGTTATTTCTTGGATGTGCAGAACCAAGATCCAGTGATTGTCAAGTGTGTGTTGGGTAGGTGGGTGGGGCGCAGCATGACACTTGGTCAAACGAAGCTAACCATGAGCCGGTAGTAAGTGTAGAAGAAGTTAACAAAAAGAAGTTAATAAGAAGTTGCCTATCCAGATGGAAGGCAGAGGGGAGAGGGGATGGGTGATGCAGTTTCTCTTGCCTACCCCCCTTATTCCCTGAGTGGGCTCCGGGGAATCTTTCAAGTTCTGCGGCCCATTTTAAAATCATCATTCTATTCCTTTTTTTTTTTTTTTCCCTTTTTCTTTTTGAGACGGTGTCTTGCTCTGTTGCCCAGGCTGGAGTGCAGTGGCGTGATTTCAGCTCACTGCAACCTCCGTCTCCCAGAGGTTGAGGCAGCAGCAATTCTCCTGCCTCAGCCTCCCAAGTAGCTGGGACTACAGTCACCTGCCACCACGCCCAGCTGATTTTTGTATTTTCAGTAGAGACGAGATTTCACCATGTTGGCCAGGCTAGTCTCAAATTTCTGGCCTCAGGTGATCCGCCTCCCGAAGTGCTGGGATTACAGGTGTGAGCCACCGTGCCTGGCCCATCATTCTGTTCCTTAGCAGACTTTCTGGGTGCAGAGGGTGGTTGACTTTTTACTTAAGAAGAATTAAGAAACTGCTGTGACCACAGGCTCAGCAGACCCAGGTGGGGTTATTTCAGCCAGCTGAGTGGCCCAAGGAGCCCAGGGTGCTGCAGTCACTGTGCACTGTGGCCTCTTCTCCTGTGTCATGTCGTCTTTGGGGGGTGTCCTGGGATCATGGGCACCAATGGTTACTGGTCCCATAGATGGGTGCGATTTTTGTTGCTGATTTGCTTTGTGTTGCTGTTATGGTTTGGGTTTTTGATGGTTGTATTTTTCCCCTTTATTTTTTAAAGGAAAGTACATGTCTTCTAAATGCACTACTACCTCTGACAGTGTATGTCTGCCCTGTGGCCCGGATGAATACTTGGATACCTGGAATGAAGAAGATAAATGCTTGCTGCATAAAGTTTGTGATACAGGTGAGCCTGTCGTGTCAGTGTGAAGTGTAGAAACCTCAGACCTCTTTTTCTGTAGAAACATTTTTAGAGGCAACCGATAATGTTTCATTTCAGGAACATGGAAGGAAGTTGTGACTACAGATCCCAAGAAAGATGCATTTTAAATCCCCAAGGCCTGTGTTAAAATTCTTCATTTAGAACATTTGTTCTGGAATATATTTATGTTGCCATTTAATCATGGGACACATCATAGACTTGACATAATGTTTCCATAATGTTCCCACCTATTTTGTGTGGTTTAATCCTCCTCCAAACCCTGTAGGTAGCCATACTTATCCCTTTTATTTTATTTTATTTTATTTATTTATTTATTTATTTATTTATTTGAGACAGAGTCTTGCTCTGTTGCCCAGGCTGGAGTGCAGTGGCGCAATCTCAGCTCACTGCAAGCTCCACCTCCCAGGTTCACGCCATTCTCCTGCCTCAGCCTCCTGAGTAGCTGGGACTATAGGCGCTCCCCACCATGCCCGGCTAATTTTTTGTGCTTTTAGTAGAGACGGGTTTCACTGTGTTAGCCAGGATGGTCTCAATATCCTGACCTCATGATGAGCCCGCCTCGGCCTCCCAAAGTGCTGGGATTACAGGCGTGAGCCACCGCGCCCGGCCTATCCCCTTTAAAGATTGAGAAACAGATTCAGAGAGGTTGAATAACTTCTCCAAGGTTAACACATGTGAAGCAGGACTCAAAACCAGGTCTACTCTTGACCTTTTTCCTAAACTATAAATATTTTATTAACACAGTTTCATCTCCTTACCAGACTGCCTTAAGTTTTTTGCCTGGAATGTTTTTTAAAGTATAGTTTATTTGAAGGAATCAGGAGCAAAACATGTCTCTTAATTCTCTTAAGAGACACAGGTTCCTTTCTCTCTCTTCTTTCCTTTTTCCATTGAGCTCATTTGTTGAAGAAGCCATGACGTTAGTTCTGTGGAGATTCCACAGGCCAGATTTTGTTGGTTGCATTCCCTTGGTATCATTTAATGTATTCTTCTGTCCCTTATATTTCTCTTCTTTTCTTTTTTTTTTTTTTTTTTTTTTTTTTTTTTTTTTTTTTTTTTTTTGAGATGGAGTCTTTCTCTGTCACCCAGGCTGGAGTGCAGTGGCACAATCTCGGCTCACTGCAACCATCCCCTCCTGGATTTAAGCTATTCTCCCGCCTCAGCCTCCCCAGTAGCTGGGATTACAGGCATGTGCCACCATGCCTGGCTAATTTTTGTATTTTTAGTAGAGATGAGGTTTTGCTGTGTTGGCCAGGCTGGTCTCAAACTCCTGACCTCAAGTGAGGCATCCACCTCGGCCTCCCAAAGTGCTGGGATTACAGGCCTGACCCCTTCTTATAAATTGGTTGTTAGATCAATGTCTTATAAATTGGTTCTTAGACCTAGAAGGCCGGTCAGATTCTGCTTTGTTTTTTGTTTTGTTTGTGGCAAACTTCATATATAATATAGTTCACACATAGAATACTGGAACCATGTAATAGCTGAGCCTTCCTCTTTCTAACATTAGCAGCTGCTGATGGTCATGGTTTAGATTTGTTTCCATTAGGGGCTGCAGAAAGGTGATGTTCTGATTCTCTCATTTCTTTTTCATTTATTAGCTGGCACACTTTATGAAGATAAACTTCCCTCATCAACTATTTATTGATAAAGTTACAAGCATTTATCCTGCAGTGCAGTACATATAGAAAAGATAGAATAAATGCTTTTAACCTTATCACTTTGCAAAACAATATCTTAATCATCCAGCATTCTTCCAAGGACTTATATTATGGAGGTATTTGAGGTGTTTCAGTTTCAGTCTATTGCAGTTATTGTTTGTTTGTTTGTTTTTGAGTCTTGCTCTGTCGCCCAGGCTGGAGTGCAGTGGCACAATTTTGGCCCACGGCAACCTTGGCCTCCCAGGTTCAAACGATTCTCCTGCCTTGGCCTCCCAAGTAGCTGGGATGACAGGCATGTGCCACCATGCCCTGATAACATTTGTATTTTTTAGTAGAGAGGGCATTTCACCGTGTGGCCAGGCTCTTCCTGAACTCCTGACCTCAAGTGATCCCTCTGCTTAGGCCTCCCAAAGTGCTGGGATTACAGGTGTGAGCCACGGTCCCCTGCCTGCAGTAACTGGTTGTAATGGTGCTTAGATTGTCACACTTCGATGAGGTGGCCCCAGGTGTTTTGATACAGCCCAGGCATCTATTGCTTCCATGCTTAGCTTGCATAATTCTTGTCTTAAACTATAATCAGATGTTTCTCTAAGGATTCCTGATTGTTTTTAGAGGAACATTGTATTTAGTGACCTCAGTCTGGATTCTAGAGAAGACTCACTACTGGATTGATCCTTGTGTATAGAAGTTTTTTCCCCAGTGGACAGAATTAGAGAATAAGTGTTTCTTTGAACACCACAATTTTTCTAATATGCTGGAGACAGCTGGCAGATTTTGGCTGGGGAAGGTAACATGGAAACTCCACTGAGCAGAAGCATCTGATCAAGCCTTTTTAATTTCCTACTGCTTAGTAATGACCTTGACTCATTGCTGTCTCTTGGAAATAAAGATTCATTCTGTCTACTGCCAAAGTTGATTAAAGCCAAAAATCTGGTACATTACATACAATACTTTAAATTATGTCAAAATTATTCATCACAACCCAGGCTTACATTCAGATGGGATCCTAGGAGTAGCTGGAATTTTCCAGAGAAGTGGCATGTGTCTGTGGACGTTCCCATGCATTGTGGACATGTTTCTGAGTATTGACCTTGATGTTGCAGAGCTGACTGGGGCCTTGGAAGAGTGGGCACTGCAGGAGATGGGGGGACTTCTCCAGGGTCACTAAGCTTGGGTCTATAAAGATTGGAAATAGGAAATGTCCCCTCCCTACGGGCTATAACTTGAGACAATAAGAGACAGAGCGTTTCTGGTTTGTTTGCTTGTTTTTCCCTTGGAATTCCTGTAAGTATTCAGGAATATAAGGTGCAGGGGCTGTTTGGACAATCCAGGTGAGAAGGAGCCCTAGAAGGGTACAAGGTCTGTTTTAAATCATGTTATTGGTTTGTATCATGTTGGGGGGCGGGGTCATGCACATACGTGCAGTTGACTCTGGTTATGCACGGTAGCTGTGTTCTGTAAAGTCACCAGGAATGCTGAATTAGCAAATCCTGAGCCATTAGTCCTAGTGGATTACAGGGTGAGGTTCCTGCAAGCCTCCAGTCACACCGTCACGGACTGATCACCACATAACCTTGTTTCATGTGTGTTTCTGTTTAAAGACACCTTATTTGATACATGTTGTTGATTCATTAACATTGCACTCATGACCAACAGCACTGTCATTCATGCCTGAGCGAAGCTTCTCTAACAGTTATTTTCTCCATAAGGCACACCACAGCCTTCTTGCACTTAGAACACTAGACAGCTCTTCAGCACGACAGTTGGGGGCTGTTATAAGCAGGGAAATCACCAACAAAACGCTTGTTTACCTTCTGTGAGCTGAAACAAGAAGGCAGAGCATCGCCTGGTCCAACCTCAGCCAGAAACCTGAGTGTGGAGCAACTCGAAATGTACACGGTTCTGTCCCTGAAGGACTGCAGAATTACCAAGAGGATTGATTTTGGGGTGCAAATAAATTTCATTGAGTAGGTGAATTCACAAATATGAATCTGCAAATAATGAGGACTGTTGATTGATCCATAATTTGATTCCTATTTGTGTGTGTATGTAGTTTATAACAGATGTGTGTGTGTGTATATAGTTTATAACAGATACGTGTGTGTGTATGTAGTTTATAACAGATACGTGTGTGTGTGTATGTAGTTTATAACAGATACGTGTGTGTGTGTATGTAGTTTATAACAGATACGTGTGTATGTGTGTATGTAGTTTATAACAGATACGTGTGTGTGTGTGTGTGTGTGTAGTGTTTACAACAGATCAATTCCCATGGTTTTGGAAAAACCATACATACCTGCATTCCAGAAAAACTGGAAGGGGCCAGGAGATTTGGAACCAGAAGGCCATGTGTTGTGAAAACAGAGACAAATATGTTATCCTGAGTGCTTGAGGAGAGTTTGCCTCTAAGCACGTCACTGGGCCTGCCTCTGTGCCCTCTCCACTCATGTAACTCCACAACAGCCCGTTTTCACCCTGGGATGCCTCAGGATCCTAAGATGAATCCTAAACCTCCAGAAGCCTTATTCTCTAAGGTCCAAACTCGCGTTAGTCTTATGTATGTGGTATTTGAACTTAGAAAAATGAGGAAGCTCAGCTCTGTGACCCTTCTGCATTTGCCAGAACATTCAATGATCATCAATTCCCAAGTCCTTATCTTCCTACTAACATGAAAATTGACTTTTAAAAAAAGCCCACAAAACTCTTAATTATGAGAGAGAGAAGAACCCCCCGTGACGTTTTCGTGCCAGTGCAGGAAGTGCGAGGAGGAACTTGGGACTTCTCGGGCAGTGCCCTGGTGATTCACTCTGCAGGCCCGCCAGGCGGGCTGCTGGTCTGGCCTGTTCTGGGCTGGATGTTGGATAGTGCAGTCGTGAGCGGTGTGTCTGGGCTGGCTGCCCCTCCCTGTCTAATGACCTGTCTCTTGTCTCCCACAGGCAAGGCCCTGGTGGCCGTGGACGCCGGCAACAGCACGGCCCCCCGGCGCTGCGCCTGCACGGCTGGGTACCACTGGAGCCAGGATTGCGAGTGCTGCCGCCGCAACACCGAGTGCGCGCCGGGCCTGGGCGCCCAGCACCCGTGTACGGGTTGGATGTGTGCGTCTGTCGGCTCTTGCTGAGCCATGCAAAGCCAGCTTTGAGACAGTCTTGATAATAGCAGCAAGAAAGCTCCAGGGTGCTAGGCAGCATTGGAGGAACCCGAGGGGTGGGGAAAGGTGGGGGCTGATTTTCCACGAGATGCAGGCCCAGGCAAGACCTGAGAATGAATCCTCCGCTTAGGTTCTTCAAAGGGACTGCGGGCAATTTGCCCACATGCTCTGGCCGTGGCCAGGGGGCGCTGGGGCTCCTCCATCTGTAGAAACCTAGGATCCCTACTTAGGAGCCAGCAGGATAGTGCAGGGGCGGTTGGACATTTTTAAAGAGTGTGCGCCCATTAGAATTTTGGCAAAACCATGCATCCCACACCCCAGCACGTTTTTAAGTTGACATCTAAAAATTTTTGTTACAAGTTTAAAGAACTGATAAGGACTTAGGTACCAGGGAATTGTAACTGCGATAACACTGAAGAAACGAATCCAGTGGAATGTAAACACCATGGCCATTTGATGCCCACTATGATTCATTTTTAAATGCACTAATCATATTTAACTATTTGACAGTTTACATAATTCCTTTCTCTCCTTTTGTTTCCTATCCATTCCGCCTTCTCCACAGAATTTTATCCTGATATATTTCTTATCCTTGGAGGGATTTTACTAATCACGTTTTCATGTTCAAATATGCACCTATTGAAAAATACGCACCTATCTTTTTTTTTGAAATGGAGTTTCACTCTTGTTGCCCAGGCTGGAGTGCAATGGCGCGATCTCAGCTCACTGCAACCTCTGCCTCCCAGGTTCAAGCAATTCTCCTGCCTCAGCCTCCTGAATAACTGGGATTACAGTCATGCTCCACCATGTCTGGCTAATTTTGTATTTTTAGTAGAGGCGAGATTTCTCCATGTTGGTCAGGCTGGTCTCAAACTCCCGACCTCAGGTGATCTGCCTGCCTTAGCCTTCGAAAGTGCTGGGATTATAGGCGTGAGCCACCACACTCGCCTGAAATCTTAATTTTTAAATATTTACTTTGACCTGGGACTAAAAGCATTTCTTCTGGACCAAGTTGTCACTACCTTTACTATTACACAATTGGTCAAAAATGAATATATCCTATTTTGCTGTATTATAATCATAAAAGTAAAAACCTCCGACCTCCATAATGAGTGGGATTTTTTTTCCAATTCATATATTTATGGCTGAATATTACTTATTGCTAAAATGCAACAGCATTCAGCATCAATTTTGTTTCTACTTTTTTTATGTATGTAAGTGCTGAGAAATTTGTTCACATAAATAACTGAATGGCAAAGGAAACACTTTGGTTATAGGCGTGTCCCTCAATTTTTTTCAGTACCTTCTGATTTATGTGTCCAAGCTCACCTACTGATGTGATATCAGAAGTTATTTTTAATGATCTATCAGTTGATAATTCAATTGTGTCCTCCAATTTTGTTGAAAGTAAAGAAATAGAAATTCTTTTGAGTTGAAAAAGTATTTCTTAGAGTCATTTGCTTTCCTGAATTCTAGGAAGTATAACAAAAGCAGTTTTTTCCAAGACTTAACACATGATTATTTATGCCTATTAACCATTCCCTTAGAGGCACCTGGTTTTAACCCAAAATACTTGGACAGGGTTGGGAGAATTAAAATACTATCCATTTCAATTCATATCAAGGATAATATCCATCACAGAGTCTAACTGACACACTTGGTCTTTATTATCAAATGCATTGACTAAACCAGATGTGCTTTCTGTTACAAAAAGTCTAACTTGATTTTTTAATTGTTAAAATAGATCTCCCTATCACAGCCAACTCCCTCTGAATTCTGATTCTAAAATAGAAGCGGCCCAGAGCCTTTCCTCCAGCTTTTCACCAGCATGTCACATCAGGGGTTCTATTAGACGTTCTCTCTGCCTTGTACCTTTGGAAATGGGTTCATTTTGGGACAAAATAGGTGGAGGATAGAGGGGAAGGGGTAGATGAATGGAAATTTCACTCCTGCCCCACCCTGCTTAATTTCAGTTCAGAACAACTCAGCCTGATCGCAGCTGCCCCATTTCTGTCATCCTGCTTTTGCCCTTGATAGAGCGGGAAAGGTGGGAGGTGTGCCGGGGGGCGCGGGAGCTCTGCCATCACCAGTGTTTCCACTTGTCACTTAGTTCGACATCTCAGAGGTTTGGCAGCATAGCAGCAAACTCTGGGGTGGGTAAGAAGTGTGCCTTTTGTAAAGTGGGAAAAGTGTGATTAGGAAAGGGAGCAAGGAAAGGAGCCTGCAGGATGCTTCTGGCAGGTCAGTGTTACTAAGAGTCACATGGAAGTCAAGCTATGGAAATTAGCACCCTTAACCCTTTGCATGCCTGTTAGCCCCCACGTCTTAGATTTTGAGAGCTTCTCACAACTCTAGATTGTGCTTCTCTTTTAAAAAGCTGTTCAAATTGGCCGGGTGCGGTGGCTCATGCCTGTAATCCCAGCACTTTGGGAGGCCGAGGCGGGCGGATCACGAGGTCAGGAGATCAAGACCATCCTGGCTAACACGGTGAAACCCCGTCTCTACTAAAAAAATACAAAAAATTAGCCAGGCACGGTGGCGGGCACCTGGAGTCCCAGCTACTCAGGAGGCTGAGGCAGGAGAATGGTGTGAACCTGGGAGGCAGAATTGACAGTGAGCGGAGATTGCACCACTGCACTCCAGCCTGGGTGACAGAGCGAGACTATGTCTTCAAAAAAAAAAAACCTGTTCAAATTCATGTGAGTTATTAGATTTCAAGGCAAATCAAATTGCTAGATGCAGGAGCAGGTACCCTACTTAGCCAGCCAAATTGCAGAAATCAAGAATATACTTTGTACTTGACTTTGGACAAAGAAAATTTAATTCCTTTTTTTAGTGTTTTATTCATGAAAGTAAATCACAGAAGTGCTACTAATTTCAGGAGTCATTTGTGGCTTGGGCACCAGCCAGTTGCCTGATTATGATATCACATCGCAGCCAGTGTTCTTCCTGGGACTTACCGAAGAATCATCATGCGTGGATTGCAGTAGAGGGAATAGGCATAGGAAACCTGAGACATTTATTTTGACAGTGTAGTTCATGAGGAATATGAGAGTCAAGTCAGTTTACTAACCAGGATCAACTCCTGCTTTCAATGCTGTCCATTAAGGAAGGAGTCTAACATCCATTGTGCCACTGTGTTTATCAGTAAAGTTTTATTGGAACACACCCTTATCCATTGTTTTTAATGTATTGTTGGACTGCTTTCATGCTATGAGTAGCTGCAGCAGAGACCACAGGCCTACAAAGCCTAAGATACTTACTGTATGACCCTTTATAGAAAATGTTTGATACCAACCCTTGGTTGCAGGGAAAGAGACCTGTAGGGTTCTTCCTTGTCTTCTTTTTTTAACTGAGACTCTGATACTTGGACTGAGGAGATTAAGCTCATCAGAAGAGGTCGGGACAGTGAGTTTCCCTTCAAAGTAGTAATGGGTCTGCCATTCCTTGCAGACAAAGGCTGGGCTAGCACCTGTGGTCCCAGCTACTCAGGAGGCTGAGACAGGAGAATGGGGTGAACCCGGGAGGCGGAGCTTGCAGTGAGCTGAGATCGCGCCACTGCACTCCAGCCTGGGCGACAGAGCGAGACTCTGTCTCAAAAGAAAAGAAGGAAAAAAAAGCTGTTCAAATTAATGTTTGATTTGAACAGGTACGTAGGTACATAGGTGCGTAGGGAAAAACAAGAGGCAGATAGCAGGAGCAGTCAACACCGGCTCCCACACTAGGAAACAAAGTGTTGGTGACCAGGGAAGTGACTCTGAACCACAAAAGGTCAGGACCGGAGCTGGCCTGACCTGGACATCACAGATAAGTGTTAGTGGTCCGACATCGAGCCAGTTACCTTTCCGAGCGTGGTTCTGTAACTCACTGCTGGGGTCAGAACTGCTTTGTGGGCCCAAGCCTGTGGGAGCTGAAGGAATCAAACACGGGGTAGGCACAGGGGTGGGAGGTGAGAGCAGACAGGGGCAGCGCCTCACCTCCAGTCCTCTGGAGTCTCAGCCTGGATGATCTCTAAGTGACCTCGTTTGTTCTGTGTTTGTTCTGTCTGGGTTTTTCTTTTTTGTTTTTTTTTCACAGTGCAGCTCAACAAGGACACGGTGTGCAAACCTTGCCTTGCAGGCTACTTCTCAGACGCCTTCTCCTCCACGGACAAATGCAGACCCTGGACCAAGTAAGTAACAACAAAGGAGTCAGAAGAGATGGTTGGTTTTTAAACAACTCAACCTCCACTGTCTCGTCTGGGTTGAAAACGGATGGATTCTGTTGGGTTAGGCTTCCTCTTGAAGCCACATTCAAAATGGAAAAAGTCTGTCAGTTCAACATGGGGAAAATAAACCAGTCAAACTAATTCTTCAGCCCTATGTGTGACAGGAACTTCGTGTGACTTTTTAGATTTGGTAATCTGTGACTTATGGTTGCAGCTTTTTCTAACCTTGTTTGGTTGAAAATGATTTATAACATTTATTCAGTGGTCATGCCTACTTCTCCCAACTTCCCAACATCACTGATTTATTCATCCAGATATTTGTGTGTGTGTATGTGTGTGTATGTACACACATATAGAAGCCTCCTGTTTATATAAATGTTTGCACGCTGTAAACATCTTGGGGTTTTTTTTTTCCACATATTATATCCTGAAGCTTTTTCTATATTAGTTCATCAGTTCATGATTTTCGTGGCTTTTCACAGCTGCATAGTATTTCATTGTAGAGATGAAGTGTAAGTTATGTAATAAGTTCTTTATTTATAGTCACTTAGGTTGTTCCCAGTCTTTTATAGTAATACATAATTTTGTGATGAAGAATCTCATCTATGTATGATTTCTCACGTATGTGAGTGTATCTATAGTGGAATTCATGGGTGCTTTCATCTCATGCTTGTTGTTGAATACTAATAATCAATGTAATGATTCTTTCAGTTCCCTGTATATTCCTTATGAAATGTTTATTTTCTGCCAGGCGTGGTGGCGCATGCCTGTAATCCCAGCTACTCAGGAGGCTGAGGCAGGAGGATTGCTTGAGCCCAGGAATTTGAGAACAGCCTGGGCAACATACCAAGACCCTATCTCACATTTTTAAACAACGAAAATTAAATTAAAATACATAAATAAATGTTTATTTTCTGATTCACTTATCCAAATTTTATGTTCAAGAGGATTTTCTGTGTTTTTCAAAAAAAAACAATCAGCAAAAGTATATCACTTAACCATGTAATTGAAGCTATTGGAATATACTTTTTTTTTTCTTGAGACATGATCTTGCTCTGTTGCCCAGGCTGAAGTGCAGTGGTACAAACATGGCTTCCTGCAGCTTCAACCTCCTGGGCTCAAGCAGTCCTCCTGCCTTTGCCTCCCCAGTAGCTGAGACCCCAGGCACGTACATCACACCCAGCTAATTTTTAAATTTTTTGTAGAGACAGAGTTTCACCGTGTTGCCCAGGATAGTCTCTTATTCCTGGGCTCAAGCAATCTTCTTGCTTCAGCCTTCCAAAGTGCTAGGATGATAGGCCTGAGCCACCGGGCACGGCCAGAATATTCTTTCCTGAAGACTCTGCTCTGCTGCTTTGCTGACCACACTCTCAGAGTAGCTGTCAGAGAACACAGGCAGCGTTTGCTTTTGCTTATTTCTTTGTCCCACCTTGTGATGTTCTCCTCCCTGTAGAAGGCACGGAGGATTCAAATGTCCAGGAAGGCATGGGTTCCTCTCCTGAAGGAGCTGGCCATCTGGGAGAGCCTTGCATTTGTTCATTTTTCAAAAAACAAGCATATAAAACCAAAGCACTGAACTGCCTTCCACCCCCCCCCCGCCCCCCACCCGCCACAGCTGTACCTCCCTTGGAAAGACGGTAGAACATCATGGGACAGAGAAATCCGATGTGGTTTGCAGTTCTTCTCTGCCATCTAGAAAACCACCAAATGGTATGTTTAAAACGAGCCTGTGGGTTGATAGATGTGCCCCGGGGTAGTCAGATCATTTAGATCCCTCCCAGATGGCACATGGATCTGCAGGCATCCTCTCCCCCGTTGTTTCATCCTGTGCACGGTCAGCTCAATGTTTCATTTTAATCAGTAGTTTAACTCCAGGTATGTTGTTTCCTTGATAATTTTCTACACTGGATTGGGGGTAACTAATCATGTTTTAATATGCATAAAAAGAAAATAGAGCTGCAAACATAAAATGCTCAGACACGGTGGGATGATGGCGGTCACAAGTGTCTATGAGGAGATTTTGGTCATCTCCCAAAATTGTTAGGATCTTGCTATCATCTATGGAACATGTTGCAGATTAAATTATTATTATTATTATTATTATTTTTGAGACGGAGTCTTGCTCTGTCACCCAGGCTGGAGTGCAGTGGCATGATAACGGCTCACTGCAACCTCCAACTCATGAGTTCAAGCGATTCTCCTGCCTCAGCCTCCTGAGTAGCTGGGATTACAGACACACACCACCATGACCAGCTAATTTTTGTATTTTTAGTAGAGACGGGGTTTCACGATGTTGGCCAGGCTGGTCTCAAACTCCTGGCCTCAGGTAATCCACCCACCTTGGCCTCCCAAAGTGCTAGGATTACAGGAGTAAGCTGCTGCACATGGCCACATTAAGTTAGTCTTAAGTGGAGTTTCAGATTGCCAGAAAGTTGATGGTGGAGGCTGGTTACTTGGTGAACAGGACAGCATAGAGATGCGGGTCCAGATATCGGAAGAGATGGCTTAAGTGGCAAGGAGACCTTTCAGATGAGGAAAGAGAACAATAGGCCACAGAATAACCGGGTTAACAAGCTTTGACCAAGAAATCAGGGGTTTGGCCTTAACATTTTGGGAAACAGGAAGACATTAAAGCATTCTGGATGTGGAGTTACACAATCAGAGCAAACTTTTTAAAGACCGTTTGGCAGATAACATTAAATATAACTGAAGGAATAAAAAGTTAATTTAAAAAAGAGAAGGAGAGGAAAAGTAGGAGTCCAGGAAACCAGGTCAAGTAAATCAAGAGTTTTTAACAAGGATTCTAGCAATGAAGTGATCAGGGAGGGATGAAGAAAACGTTTGGGTCCACATGGTGTTGGGGATGAAAATTCCAGAAATATTTCACAGGATGGCTGTGTTTCTGTTCTCATGACCGGCAAAGCCCTGGTGCCCTGTTGCTATTAGGAAAGAGATAGAAGAAACTCCTTTTGTCTGCGGAGGTCATTCATCTGGGGATACTGAAGGGTTCTGGAGGTTAGCCAGAATGAGACTGGGTGGTGTGGTGAGCATGATTAGAGATGTTCTAAGGTAGAAACACCGCAATGGTCCTGGGCTGCTCTCCCATAGAGTGCAACCGGACTGAGCCAGGCTGGCTAAGATTGTGGATCTCACCCTTCAGAATGTGAGCACTCGTGGACAAAGGGCAGCCAGGGGTGGGGGACTCTCACTTCTGCTATCCCAAACCAACATTTTTCATTCTGAGGTTTGATTTACCAGGATTTGTTTTTCAACTGCGCAAAATTAAAGAATCTTTAATACCATATTTCTCATTTTCTTTCAATACAGAACCCCAGGTTTACTTGCCCGGTTTAATAATTCTGCTTCTTTTCACGTCTGTGGCCCTAGTGGCTGCCATCATCTTTGGCGTTTGCTATAGGAAAAAAGGGAAAGCACTCACAGGTATTGTGTCTATGGCGCTTTTTGCAAATTAATCTTAAAAGAGATAGATTTCTAGATCATGTTTTATCATTCTCTGACAAAAAGAAATAGAACTCCAAAAACCTGAAAAAGCCAATATTCTGCCTAGTTATATATAAGGGAAAAAGAATACTCTGGTGTTCAGGAAACTGATGACTTGTAAGCTCCATGTTTAAGTTGTATAGACTGTACAGCATCACGTATACAGCAGCTTGGATTTATCCTAGAATACATCAATTTTTAATGCGTGCATTTAAAATATACATAAAATATTTAGATGATCAGTAGGGGGAATTCCTGACTGGAGTGTTACTTTGAAATAAGAACCTCCACCAGGTGCGGTGGCTCACACCTGTAATCCCAGCACTTTGAGAGGCCAAGGCAGGTGGATTACCTGAAGTCAGGAGTTCGAGACCAGCCTGGCCAACATGGTGAAACCCCATCTCTACTAAAAATGCAAAATTAACCAGACATGGTGGCACATGCCTGTAATCCTAGCTACTTGAGAGGCTGAGGTAGGAAGTCGCTTGAACCCAGGAGGCAGAGGTTGCAATGAGCCAAGATCATGCCATTGCACTTCAGCCTGGACAAGAGTGGAACTTCATCTCAAAAAAAAAAAAAAAAAAAAAAGAACCTCAGATTATGAAAATAAGTTATATTGAATAAAATTTAGGTGCTTATTCTTAGAATAGACAGCCAAGTCTTATCCTGTTTCTTGGGAATAATTTTCCCATAGAAATTTGTTAGTGTCTTTAAACATCATGTCATGTTTAACTTTTAGACTACAAAGCTAAAAATGTGTAATTTTTATGAAAGGATTCAAGACTTCATTAGATTTCCTAAGAATATCTCTTAATCCTTTAATATTCAAGTCATTCTCTTTTGACTTGAATATTAAAAACATGATGTTTCACGATCCTTTTCCATTTTCAGTTGCTCTCTTATTTATTTATTTATTTATTTATTTATTTACTTATTTATTGTTTAGACAGAGTCTTGCTATGTTGCCTAGGCTGGAGTATGATGGCACGATCTTGACTCACTGCAGCCTCCGCCTCCCAGGTTCAAGTGATTCTCGTGCCTCAGCCTCCTGAGCTGGGATTACAGGCATTTGCCACCATGCCCAGCTAATTTTTGTATTTTTGGTAGAGATGGGGTTTGACCATGTTGGCCAGGCTGGTCTAGAACTGCCGACCTCAGGTGGTCCACCCGCCTCAGCCTCCCAAAGTGCTGGGATTACAGGCATGAGCCACAATGCCTGGCCCAGTTGATTGCTTATTTATATGGCCCACTTTGCCTTGCTGTGATTTGATCAATTCTCCCACATCACACCCTTGGACTTCATGAGACCCTGCCTATCTAGCTGCTTCTCTAACCATTACATTGCCAAATGAAACACTAGACAATCAGAAGACTAATTAAAGAGGAAAGATGGAGATTTCTGATGCCAGTGGTAAGCAGTGAGCAATGTTTGAGTGGTGAACTTTTTTTTTTTTTTTTTTTTTTTTAGACAGAGTCTTGCTCTGTCACCCAGGCTAGAGTGCAGTGGTGTGATCTCGGCTCACTGCAACCTCCGCCTCCCGGGATGAAGCGATTCTCGTGCCTCAGCCTCCTGAGTACCTGGGATTACAGGCATTTGCCACCACGCCTGGCTAATTTTTGTATTTTTAGTAGAGATGGGGTTCCACCATGTTGGTCAGGCTAGTCTCAAACTCCTGACCTCGTGATCCATCCGCCTTGGCCTCCCAAAGTGCTGGGATTACAGGCGTGAGCCACCACACCCAGCCGAGTGGTGACCATCTTTTAAAGAGTCTGTTCATTGTTGAATGCTTTTATTTAGTGCAACTTCACCTCCTTAACAACATCATTACTGGGGATTTGGATAACGCATGTTCAGATGATGAAGGTCACTTGTAGTCATGTTTATGTGAGATAAACAGACTTCCTGATGTTTAGTTCTTTAGGTTTTTCTTTTTGATACTATTTTACTGCCATATGGGCCTACCGTTTACTGGATTGGATGTCATGACTGTTAGCTCTCTCTTCATCCATTCATCCTTACGTGTTTACTGATCATCAGGGACTGGACTGGCACTGGGGTCTCAATATCAAGCAACGCAGGCACAGCCAGTGCCCTCCTGGAGGAAGCATCTTAGTGGGCAGGGTAGGCATTAAGCCCATGGAGGGAAGCCGAGTGTGCAAGGGAAGGTGCTGAGCACCAGGTAGCAGACGACAGAAGGTCAGCCCATCCCTGAGGCCAGCCAGGGCCTCCCAGAGGAGGAAATGTGTGAGTTAAGATCTGAAAGACAAGTCAGAATTCGCTAGCCAAGGGACATCAGGAGAAACACAGGCATTCTGTCCTGAGAGCTGCATGATGAGGGGAGCACGGTGCATTAGCGGGCTGGAGGGAGCTAGTGGCACTGTAGCACAAAGTCAGGGACCAAATGGAAGATGAGGCTGGAGAGGAGGGCACGGCCAGACCATGTAGCCCTGCAGGGCTGCTGAAGGAGTTTGCTCCTTGTCCTTAGCAAAAGGGACCGAGGGCGGCCCTCTGGCTTTAGAGTACCAAACAAATGCATGGTACAGTGAGCGGAGATGCAGGCGCAGCGGTTAGGAAGCTGTTTGCAGTTGTCCAGGGCAGAGGTGATCATAGCAGGTCTGCATGTTTACCAGCTCCATGGACAGGTATTTATTTTTAGTGCCATTTGTGATTGTCTAGACTGATTTCTCCAAGGAAACAGCTGCAATTGTCCTCTTTTTTTTTTTTTTGGCGGGGTGTCGGGGGAGGGCAGGTAAGTTTACCTTGATATATAATTTCAAAGTGATAGAAAAGAAGCAAGAATAATGATGATGATCGCAATAGCTGACATATATTAAATATTTAATATGTGCCAACATGACTACATATATTTTGCATGTACTAAGTACATCTTCACAACAGCACCATGAGGTGGGCACTATTATTTCTCCTATTTTATGATGAGACTGCTTGGCACCATCCCTGGCATGCTTAAGTGCACATTAGCTATTATGTGATGATCTTCCCATAGAGAATCTGACAACTCCTAACTTTAGTCAGCTTTTTGTTGTTGTTGTTGTTGTTGTTGCTTTTTGAGACAGGGTCTCACTTTGTCACCCAGGCAGGACTGCAGTGGCACAAGAGCAGCTCTCTGCAGCCTCGACTTCCCTCCTGGGCTCAAACAATCCTCCCACCTCAGCCCCCCAATTAGCTGGGACCACAGGCACGCACCACCATGCCCGGCTAATTTTTGTATTTTTTATAGAGAAGGGGTTTCACCATGTTGCCCAAGCTGGTCTCAAACTTCTGAGCTGAAGCAGTCCGCCCACCTCAGCCTCCCAAAGTGCTGGGATTACAGGTGTGAGCCACCGGGTCCAGTCCTAACTTTAGTCTTTATAGTGAGCCCAACATTAAATGTTCATTAGAAGTAGGATAAAATTGTATCTTTGTATAATATAAATTCATAGATTTCTTAAAATTCATAAAATTTAACCTTTTAGGCTTCATCACTTCTGTAAGAGTGAGTGGAGATGTAGTTTTTGAACATATTCTTCTTTCTTCTGAGAAGCAGCCAGATATAGTGGAAAAGGTCTTGGGGCCTGCTGGTCTCAGTGGGTCTGGCACCTAGCTTGCTGTGCTTGCCCCACTTTTATAGTACATTCAAGCTAGTTTACTGGAAAAATCAGTCTCCTAGACATATTTTCTTTGGTTCTTCTATGATGTCTAACTTAGTCCCTCATAACCAAAGAAAACTTAAGAGGATGAGAATGTCTATAGTCATAGCAGCAACTCTGACAGGCCCCAAATGTGCCCAGAGGTAGTCACTGAAACATTAGTGGATCATGTTTTGCTTTGCATAGAACAGGAAGTTCTGTTTTTGACAGGAGTAAGATGGCTTCATAGCCTTTATTTTTTTATTTTTTGTTTTTTTTTGAGACCGAGTTTCGCTCTGTTGCCAAGGTTGGAGTACAGTGGCACAATCTCAGCTCACTGCAGCCTCCGCCTCCCAGGTTCAAGCAATTCTCCTGCTTCAGCCTCCTGAGTAGCTGGGATTACAGGCGAGTGCCACCATGCCCGGCTAATTTTTGTATTTTTAGTAGAGATGTGGTTTCACCATGTTGGCCAGGCTAGTCATGAACTCCTGACCTCAAGTGATCCACCCGCCTTGGCCTCCCAAAGTGCTGGCATTACAGGTGTGAGCCACTGCGCCTGGCCCTTCATAGCCTTTAAATCAGTTGATTTACTTTTAAATGCTTTCACTTCCAGGAGCGCTCACTGAAAGACTTGCAGTGGACTCTGTTGAAAGATAATATTGAACTGACCTAGTGGTCATAATACTGAGCCTGATACAGAAAGAAAAATTTAGAACGATTGCACTTACATGTGCAGTATTCCCCAAAAGTCAAATATACAGAGATATAGAATAAAACAATGGTTACCAGGGGCAGGGGGAAAGAAAATGGGGAGATGTGGGTCAAAGGAAACAAAGTAGCAGATATGCAGGATGAAGAAAGTTGTCCAGGAATCTAATGTACGGATGGGGACTGTAGTTAATCATATTGTATCATATTCAAGATTTTTGCTAAATTTGTAGATTTTAGCGGATCTTGCCACACACACATAAAAATGGGTAGCTAAGTGAGATGATGGGTATGTTAATTTGCTTCACTATAGTAACCATTTTACTATCTATTTTTGTCCTGTAACATGTTGTATACCTTAAATATACATAATAACCTTTATTTAAAAGAAAAGTGGGAAGTAATAACTTGAAGTCCTTATCCTTGCTTTGTGTTTTCTAGCTAATTTGTGGCACTGGATCAATGAGGCTTGTGGCCGCCTAAGTGGAGATAAGGTAGAGTGAACAGTTGTTGGTGCCTCTGTTAAGTACATTCAACAGGCTGGTAGAGCCATCCTAGTCAAATATTGAGCTCCCCACCCCCCTTTTTTTTGAGACAGAGTCTTACTCTGTGCCCCAGGCTGGAGTATAGGGGTGCAATCTCAGCTCACTGCAACCTCCGCCTCCCAGGTTCAAGTGATTCTCCTGCCTCAGCCTCCCGAGCAGCTGGGATTACAGGTGCCCACTACCACGCCTGGCTAATTTTTTTGTGTTTTTAATAGAGACAGGGTTTCACCGTGTTGGCCACGCTGGTCTCGAACTCCTGGCCTCAAGTGATCTACCTGCCTCGGCCTCCCAACGTGCTGGGATTATAAGTGTGAGCCACCGCGCCCAGCCTGAGCCTCTTTGCTTAAGGGGCATTTTCAGGTGCAGTGATCAAACCTCAAATTCCAGGATAGATCTCTGCAGAGCAGCCCAAAGCCCAAGTCCAGGCTCATTCTAGATGCCTGTTTTCTTTGTCTTTGTTTCCGCTTCTCTCATCTCTGTGTTCATGTTATTTTTTTTTAGTACTAATCTTGATTGTCTGGTACAGATTCCTGAGAAGGATGAATTGCAACTTTCCTTGACTCTCTAGTTATTCTGGTAACATTTTATGTTGACACAATTCAAAATTGTAGGAAAGTAGTAGAAAAGGACAAAGACCTTCCATATACCCTACACATAGGCCCACCAGTTGTTTCTATTTTCTCTCATTGCTTTGTGATTTGCTTACTCTCTGTATGTGTGTATATGAACACAGTTATGTTTTCTTCTCAAACCATTTTAGAGTGAATGGCAGACCATGTGTCCCATATCCTTAAATATTTCAGTGTGTATGCAGCCATAAAAAAGGATGAGTTCATGTCCTTTGTAGGGACATGGATGCAGCTGGAAACCATCATTCTCAGCAAACTATCACAAGAACAGAAAACCAAATACCGCATGTTCTCACTCATAGGTGGGAATTGAACAATGAGATCACTTGGACACAGGAAGGGGAGCATCACACACCGGGGCCTATTGTGGGGAGGGGGGAGGGGGGAGGGATAGCATTAGGAGATATACCTAATGTAAATGATGAGTTAATGGGTGCAGCACACCAACATGGCACATGTATACATATGTAACAAACCTGCACGTTGTGCACATGTACCCTAGAACTTAAAGTATAATTAAAAAAAAGAGAGAGAACAAGGACATTCTCATATATAACCATAGTACATGTATCAGGAAATTTAACAGTAGTATAATACTATTATTCAACCCACATTTGATATTACATTTTCATTAATCATTTCATTATGTCCTTTAGATCTTTCTTTCTTTTTTTTTTTTCTGAGACAGAGTCTTACTCTCTCATCTAGGCTTGAGGGCAATGGCGCAATCTCGGCTCACTGCAACCTCCGCCTCCCAGGTTCAAGCGATTCTTTTACCTCAGCCTCCTGAGTAGCTGGGATTACAGGCGCGCGCCACCATGCCCAACTAATTTTTGTATTTTTAGTAGAGATGGTGTTTCACTGTGTTGCCCAGGCTGGTCTTGAACTCCTGAACTCAGGTGATCCACCCACCTTGGCCTCCCAAAATGTTGGGATTACAGGCATGAGCCATGGTGCCCGGTTAGATCTACTTTCTTTGATATAAAATGTATACATTTGAAAGCATAAGCTCAAACTGATTTCTTCAATTCCAGGCCAACGCAACAGTATTCATTCTGGTCTTTCCCTTTCCCATATTTGAATCTTTCTTTCCCCAGCTGTATGAAACCTGGCTCCTATTATTCTCAATATATTCTCTCATTTGCTCAATTCTAGAATACACAGAAAGTAGTTTCAGAATTACTAGAGCATACCACAGTGATACACAGAGTTGCTAACTCGAGTTCAATATTTGTTTACAGTTGTTTTTGGGTTTTGTATTTAGATTGAGAATATGTCGTCAGAATACTGTGCTCAAAAGTCATTTGGGTTAGCTCCTCTCCTTGCTCAGGTGTGAACATGCTTTTCATCTGAGATGCAGCTAGATTCATTTGTTTCCAGTTGTATTCCATTCTAGAGTTCTCCTGCACTCAGTAATTTTTCATAACACAAAGTGCCATGGTCAGTATACCATCTGTACTTGTTATGGTGGAAGTAATCAGTGTAAACACCGTTTTCAGCCATGTTTAGCTAAACTCATCCTAATAACTCTGGGTGTTAATGCCTCTGCCTTCTGAATGTAAATCGGCAGGAGTCCTCAGGCGACAGTTGTGTCAGTCCACACACGGCAGCCTTTGGTCAACAGGGAGTGTGTGAAGGTGTCTTACTGCTGACTCTGGAGAAGACATTTCCAGAAGATATGTGCTCCCCAGATCAAGGTGGTGTCTGTCAGGGCACGTGTGTAGGAGGTGGTCCCTACGCACAAGGCGAAGATGCCAGGATACTCTCATTGGTCAGCGAGACCGAGACAGAGGAAGACCGCTTCAGACAGGTGCCCACGGAAGATGAATACATGGACAGGCCCTCCCAGCCCGCAGACCGTTTACTGTTCCTCACTGAGCCTGGAAGCAAATCCACACCTCCTTTCTCTGAACCCCTGGAGGTAGGGGAGAATGACAGTTTAAGCCAGTGCTTCACAGGGACACAGAGCACAGTGGGTTCAGAAAGCTGCAGCTGCACTGAGCCCCTGTGCGGGACTGATTGGATTCCCATGTCCTCTGAAAACTACTTACAAAAAGAGGTGGACGGTGGCCATTGCCCGCACTGGGCAGCCAGTCCCAGCCCTAACTGGGCAGATGTCTGCACAGGCTGCCGGAACCCTCCTGGGGAGGACTGTGAACCCCTCGTGGGTTCCCCGAAACGTGGACCCTTGCCCCAGTGTGCCTATGGCATGGGCCTTCCCCATGAAGAAGCAGCCGGCAGGACAGAGGCCAGAGACCAGCCCGAGAACGGGACTGATGGGAGGCTCCCAAGCTCGGCAAGGGCAGGCGCCGGGTCTGGAAGCTCCCCTGGTGGCCAGGCCCCTGCATCTGGTAAGTGACTTCCCGGCATCTCCCTTCTGAGCAGAAGGGCCAGTTCTTGGTACAGGGTTTGGGGGCAGGTATTACAGACCATTTAGGAAGGAGGAAGCTAATGGGAAAACCTCAGCTTGCGCTTTTTCTTTTAATAAGCATTTTTACAGGATGGCTTTGGATTCAGTTCACGCGTTTGGTTATACACTGCGCACAGCACTGTGTGGCTTCATCGTCTACCACTGGGGCAGTTTCTGCATCCATGCATGTCCCATACCCTTTTGCATTCAGGCTTTTCATGATAGGATAAGACCTCAAGCCCCAGCACCGACCCCTAAAAGACAAACTCAACATCGGCCTCAGGACTGGCTGAGCCAAGGCATTCCCTCAGATTTCTGCTTTTTGGTTTTTGTTTTCAAAGCACCTTAGGCCTCTTAAATCTCCCCCAAGAAAGCTCTTATAAATTTTACGGGGACACACAAAATTGTTTAGTTAATCCTTAATTAATTAATATTTATTGTGAATAATGTGTTGATTCTATACCAAATTAATGATACAGTAAAACTCTTTTTAAAAGTTTCATGAGAAAGGCCCCTTTTATAACCACAATGTATCATATATTTATGGAACCAGGCAGATAATTTTAACAATTTAACATCATTATAAAGATGTATCACTGCAACACTGCCTGAGCATGAACAACCTACCAATTATAATATTGTAACTTTTTTCCATGAGGGTAGAACACCATCTGTTTTATTGTGTAGTTACAAAGGACTCTGCAGCTGATAGTGAGGGCTCTGGCTCTGAGAATTACCTGTCATTTGAAGGGTCAGTGCTCTCTCTGAGAATCTTCCGAAAGCTATAGACACTCCCTCCAGAAAAACGAATATATGGATATATACTATTTAAGGGGCTTCACAGAATCCTCCGACTCATGATTTTCAAAAGGCCCATTCATAGGCCGCCCTTCTCCAGAGATGTTTTTTGTTCTCTGCTTCTTTATTTAGACTGCAAGTGGTGCCAGCAGCCGGTCTCTGAATTGTTCTATAACCCTGAGGTAGCTAGATCTGTGCCTTAAACACAGATAGTGTTTTGCCTCGTGGTAATGATGGTTCCTGGCTTTAATCTGTTCCTCAAGCTTGTGGTTTTGCTGCAGCTACATAGATTTACCGATGTATAAATTCAGTAATAGTAATTCTCAGTCAAACAGAAAGGAGGAGATATGTTTGGGGATATTTTTCAAAGAACTGGTATGTTTTCTTCTCAGAAGATCTCAGAATTATTATTATTTTAAGATTGTAAGGAATCTCCATGACTGGGCTTTGCTGTTCGTTTGCATTGATTGATTGATTGATTGATTAGTTTATTGATTTAGAGACCAAGTCTCACTCTGTCGCCCAGGCTGGAGTACAATGGCACGATCTCGGCTCATTGCAACCTCCACCTCCCGGGTTCAAGCAGTTCTCCTGCCTCAGCCTCCAGAGTAGCTGGGACTATAGGCGCATGCCACCACACCCAGCTAATTTCTGTATTTTCAGTAAAGATGGGTTTTTTCCATGTTGGCCAGGCTGGTCTCAAACTCCTGACCTCAGGTGATCCACTTGCCTCAGCCTCCCAAAGTGCTGGGATTGCAGGCGTGAGCCACTGCGCCTGGCCCGTTCTATTTCTTTTCTCTCCGTTTATTGTCTTCCCCCTGGTTGTGGAAACAGACAGTTCCCTGGGCTGTGGGGAGCGAGAAAGCTGACGTTCTGTCTCTGGCGGCAGCCAGGTCCTGTCCGCACTGTCAGGGGCAGACCAGTTTTTCAGTGGGTGACACCAGGAAGATGACATTGCCACTGTGTGAAAATCAGCAGCAGTTCTTGGAAGAACAGTGTTGGCCAGATTTAAAGAGAGAGAGAGATACATGGATCTTTTAATGCCATAAAACAAAAAGCCCGATCTTTGCTCTCCTGTAAGAGTCAAAACAGTAGCCTAGTCTGTTTTTCATCATCTTTTCTTTCTCTAGCACTAAACCATCTAGGGATGGAGGAAAGGAATAAAAAGTGTGTCATCAACTAAGTGGTGTTAATTTGCAAAAAGTTTACACTGCTTTTTCTGCCTTCGTCTGGTGCTTAGCCATGCAAAACATCCGTAGAGAGTCTGCCCGTGGTCGACGCCAGCAAGCGGTCCAAATTCATTTTCGCCTGAGGAGAGGCAGCAGCCAGATTGATTTTGGAGGCTGTGCTATTCTCTCCACAATTACTTCTCCATGAACAGGCCTTATGGCTTCTGGTCAGAATAGTACTTTCTCATTGTTGTTTTTGTAGTTTTTAAAAAAGTCACAATTCACGTTCTATAAAATGCGTGAAAGAGGATGGAGCTTAGGTGAGCCATCCCACAGAGGCCTTATCCTGGGGTCCCCTCAGCGCCCCTGTGCTGTCAGGACTCTTGCTGATGTGGCATTTTTTAAGGGTTTTTTTGATTTTTATATGAGAGTATTTTTTGTTTATTTTTGCTTACAATCACATCAAACTGTTTCTGGAGAAATGACAGTGACTGGGGACTTTTTCTTTAGGGAAGGGTATCTGCTGTCCCAGCATCTTTGTGAGGAGAATGATGATTTTTCAGACAGCTCCACAAGTGCAGACAACTTTAAAAAATATAATACCCAGTGCTGTTAAGGCTATTTTAGCCATATGATAAGTCCTAAGAAGCAAGGAGAATGATTAGCAAAGATCAGTGAAGAGGGAAGCATACTTCTGGTTATGTCTCAAATAACCATGCCTTAATTTAGGTCTGAAGTTACGCCTAATCCTGATGACGTCACGGTTGCCTTGGTTACAAGCCCTCTCACCTGGAGACTGGCTCATTCTCACTGTGCCCCTAGAGAGTTATTTCATGTGAAAGAAACCATAACTGCTTGTGATTAATATGTCTGTTGGTGGCTGGTGGCTTGGTTTTGGCTCCCGAAGCCACTGGTTAGTTTCAGTCACTTCTGAGCTGGAGAAAGTTAGGGTGGTCTTTTTTTTTTATTATTATCCTTTAAAAATGATTTTGCTTTTTAATTATTTCAACTTTTATCATAGATTCAGGTTATACGTGCAGGTTTGTACCTGGTATATTGTATGATGCTGAGGTTTGGGGTTTGACTGATCCTGTCACCCAGGCAGTGAGCACGGTATCTTCAGTCCTTGTTTCTCTCCCTCTCTCCCCTGCCTAGTTAGGAGTCCCTAGTGTCTATTGTTGCCATCTTTATGTCCATGAATACCCACTTTTAGCTTCCACTTATAAGTGAGAACATGCAGTGTTTGGTTTTCTGTTTCTGTATTAATTTGCATAGGATAATGGCCTCCAACTGCATCCATGTTGCTGCAGAGGACATGATTTCCTTCTTTTTCTATGGCTGCAAACAATTCTTGATGAACACTGAATACCTATTTGTTTTTCAATTAAACCTTTATTGAAGGTCCACTGAACCACAGAGACTTGAAAAAGCCTGAAAAACAAGTAGGGATTAATGCCAGGGTGTGGACCATGTGAAAAGGAATCAATCATTTGAGAAATCCAGGCCTTCCACAGCCTGCCCCCTCTCTCTGACCTGCAGCCTGTTGTTTGTAATGAATCTTGGGGACTTTTTCCCCTGCCTGGATACTCTCACACCCTATCAACACCCCAGCTCTAGGCAGCCACAACCAGTTAGTAGGAATTCTGGCTGGGTGCAGTGGCTCACGCCTGTAATCCCAGCACTTTGGGAGGCTGAGGTGGGTGGATCACTTGAGGTCAGGAGTTCAAGACCATCCTGACCAACATGGGGAAGCCCCATCTCTACTAAAAATACAAAAAAAATTAGCTGGGCCTGGTGGCACGCGCCTGTAATCCCAGCTACTTGGGAAGCTGAGGCAGGAGAATTGCTTGAGCCTGGGAGGCGGAGGTGATCTGAGATCTTGCCAATGCACTCCAGCCTGGGCAACAGAGCAAGACTCTGTATCAAAAAAAAAAAAAAAAAAAGTGGGGGGGCGGTGAATTCTCGTAGCCTAATCTTTCTAGTATCTCAAAATGTTAAGTGAATGGATGCTTATACATTCATTCATTCATTCATCCATTGAGGAATAAATAGATGAACACGAGACCACTGTATCCTGTTTGTTCCCCCAAGTCACTCTCAGCCTCCCAGTTCTTTGGTCTGCTCTAGGGAGCTGAAGAAGGAGGGGCATGGAAGGGCTGGCACTGACTGCCCTGGGCTCACCCAGTGTCCTGGGCAGAGGAGGCAGAAATGACAGAGCACAGGTGACCTGGTTCATCCTAGCAGCATAGACTCTCCAAGGCCATCACCTGGGAGCCAGGAACACGGGACAGTGAAGACCTACCTGACCCGTCATCCTCCCCTGTCCTCCATCTCCATCCCTGGTCCCACTCTTTCCTGAAATGACTGTTGTTGACCATCCATTTCCATTCTGAGAGTATAGAAAAAGATTTTCCTATCCAAACTTACCTCCTCTCCTTTCTTCCCCTCCAGCAGAGGACAGCCTTCTCGCTCTTTCTTCACACTCTTGTTAGAATGCCATTTACCACCTTGCATATCACTTTCAGCTAAATCTCATAAAGGCAGATATGGTTCATTGGCCCTGAATCTTGAAGTTAAAATAGATATTTCATAATTAGGTTATTTGGTGATAATATTCAGCTTTCATTGCTGTAAAATGTCAATGCACTATTTCAAAAGATATGAAAAATGTGGTCACTGTATATACTCTGCTTCATTTCGTCCTGCCTTCCTTCTTTCTGCACTGATAGGGCTCATTTTGGAAGGCTTTGGTCTGTAAGACTTTCTAAGTAATTGTCAAGCATGATTCAGAATGGAACTATTAAATACTGTTTCCCTTCCCTTATCATCACATACCCAGTTTCTTCTAAATGCCTGAAACAGAACTTACATTTCCATAAAAAGGAAAATCACATGAGAAGCATATGGGTTAAATATAAAATAAGTTTTTTTAAAAATTCCAAAAGAACCCAATGTAGCCTGGGTAGTTTGAGTGTATTTGTGTATATTTTTAGTTCTCTTCCTTGGAAGAAAATCTACATGACAATTTGGTGGTATTATTTGGCATAGTTCTTGTGATTTAATATTCATATGTTAGGCATTTTAAACAACATAATAAGCTTTTGAGAAGAAAAGTGTGCATTATCTTGCTTAAAAATGTAAATTCTGTCAGGGATTGTGTTCTTAGAACTAAGTTTGTTCTTTCTGCCTGAGAATTACAAATTCCACGGAGCCTGCTCTGTCAAGCATGGACCAAGTAGAAGCGTCGTTCTGATTATGATGGGAGACATTATTGATTCATTGTTTCTGTTGACTTACTTGCTATTTTTAACACTCTCAAGTTACCTGAACATTTTTCTGGTTAAGTCACATTAAATATTAATGTTAAGTCAACTAATCCATTATTTTTTTTTACACTTTCTTTTAGACAGGGTTTGGCTCTATTACCCAGGCTGGAGAGCAGTGGCATGATCTTGGCTCACTGCAGCCTCCACCCCCAGGCTCAAGCCATCCTCCCATCTCAGCCTCCCTTGTAGCTGGGACAACAGGCCTGTACCACCACAGCCTGATAATTTTTGTGTTTTTTTTTTATTTTTTTTTTTAGAGACTGGGTTTCGTCATGATGCCCAGGCTGGTCTCGAACTCCTGAGCTCAAACGGATCCACACACCTAGGCCTCCCAAGGTGTGTAGTCCCAGCCACTCAGGAGGCTGAGGTGGGAGGACAACCAAGCCTAGGAGGTCAGGACTGCAGTGAACTGTGTTCACGCCACTGCACTCCAGCCTGGGTGATTAAGCAAGACCCTTTCTCAAAAAAAACAAAACAAATGTCTGATTGTGAAGCTTGTACCCTAACCCACTGCACTGTCTGGGATTACAGGGGTAACCCTCCACACCCTGCCAACTAATCCATCTTAACTGTTAGAAACACTTCCAAATTCCCATATTTACTAAAAATTCCCACATCATTCTGGCTTTCAAACCATACTTTAGGGTAGCCTTCAAATTCCGTCAGTCATATGGTGTTCAGAGACCTGTAAGATTGGTGCGATAGCCTGAAGGTTACAGTTTTATCAGTGATATTATAGACGTTAGTCACTAGGTGCTAAGTGTTTTGTGCGTATCATCTTCTTATTCCTCACCGAAATTCTATGGGACAAGTTCCTGGCCCAGGCTCATGCAGCTAGTAAGCAACAAAGCCATGGTTCAGGTATCTGATTGCAGGCCAGGGCACAGTGGCTCCCACCTGCAACCCCAGTACTTCGGGAGGCCAAGGTGGGAGGATCTCTCAAACCCAGGAGTTCAGGACCAGTCTTGGCAACATAGTGGGACTTCTTCTCTACAAAAATTTTTAAAAATTAGTCAGATATGGTAGCGTGTACCTGTAGTCCCAGTCACTTGGGGAGGCTGAGGTAGGATGATCACCTGAGCCCAGGAGATCAGGGCTGCAGTGCAACCTTAAACCACCGCACTCTCTTCCCTTAAGTCAGTGCAAGTGATGCTGATTTCATTTATTTACTGTGCCTTGGAGAATCCTCAGTGTGTCACAGAATAGGGACAGGCACAGTCTTGGCATCATTGGCTGCTCTGGCTGAGGGAGAGGCAGTAGCTAGGCCTGGCCTGGCCCAGAGGGTTCCACAGGAGGGACAGCAGGATGCACAGTGTGTGATGGTCCCCTGGTTATGGTGAGACCCCTCTCTTCTGCCAGTTGTCTCGGGATGTTACCATTTTTGCTATCACTTTCCTTTGTGGGGAAAGCCTTTTCTTCCACGTGCTTCAAACTTTATCTTTTTTTTTTTTTTGGCAAGCAAAATAAATGTCAGATAAAGGTCAGAGGCAGCCTCGAAGGGGAACACTGTCAGAAAGGGATCCCGAGGAGAGGAGGCAAGAGGGGAGTAACAGGGCCTGATTTGGCTTAATGGACTAACAATGCCTACCAAAAAACCTCTGGTCTTCATGATTTTAATGTAAACTATTTTTTAGAGCAGTTTTAACTTCATAGGAAAATTGAGGGGCAGGCACAGAGATTTCCTGTATTCCTCCTGCCTCCCACACATGCACAGCCTCCCCCACTAGAATGGTACATTTGCTGCAGTCGATGAGTCCACATTGACACGTTGGGGTCCACTCTTTTGTGTTGCATGTTCTGTGGGTTTGGACCAATGTATCCTGGCATGCATCCACCGTGATAGTCTCATACAGAGTAGTCTCACTGCCCTGCAAATCCTCTGTGCTCGACTTACTCACCCCTCCCTTTCTCCAAACTCCTGGCAACTCCTGATCTTTCTCCTGTCTCCATAGTTTTGCCTCGTCCAGAATGCCATAGAGTTGGAATCACACATTCTATAGCCTTTTCAGATTGGCTTTGTTTACTCAGCATTATGAATCTAAGTTTCCTCCATGTCTTTTCATGGCTTGATAGCTCTTTTCTTTTTAACACTGAATAATATTCCATTGTGTGGACGGACATGGGGGATTTGTTTATCCATTCATTTACTGAAGGACTCTCGGCTGCTTCCAAGTTTTGGCAATTATGACTACAGCTGCTGTAAACATGTGTGTGCAGATTTTTGTGCGGACATAAGTTTTCAGTTCCTTTGGGTAAATCCCAAAGAGTATGATTGCTGGATCATATGTTAAGCGTATGTTTAGTTTTGTAAGAAGTCACCAAACTGTCTTCCAAAGCAACTGTACCCTTTTGCATTCCCAGCAGCCAAGAAAACAAGTTCCTGCCACCCGCCCCCATGCTCGCCAGCATTTGGTGGTGTCAGTGTTCTGGATCTGAGCCGTTCTAATAGGTGTGTAGTGGTGTCTCACTGTTGCTTTAATTCTCACTTCCCTGATGACATATGACGTGGAGCATCTTTTCATATGCCTGTTTGCCATCTGGATATCTTTGGTGAGGTGTCTGTTAAGGCCTTGGGTCCATTTTTATCAGGTTGTTTGTTTTCTTATTGTTGAATTTTAAGAGTTCCTTGTTTATTTTGGGAAATAGTCCTGTATCAAATATGGTTTTTGCAAACATTTTCTTCCAGTCTGTGGCTTGTTTCTTCATTCTCTTAAGCCTCAGATCTTTTTAGGCCATCTTGGGTAATCCTCATCTGAACCATCCCTCCCCTTTTCATACTCCCTTACTAGCCACCAGCAAGGGAGAGTTCCCTGCTAACTGCAGAGGTCCCTGTTGAGTTTCTTGGCATTCGGTGGGAAGAGTTCCCCTCCTGGGATACACATCAACTGCAGAAACCATAGGAACCACGTTGAAAAGGAGACCCACAGCACCCACCTGATTATACAGCTGCCAACACAGTGACCTATTGATGTCACCATCGCAGATCAGATGTGAACTCTGATGTGAACAACTAATCTGTTCTGCAATACAGAAAGCAAATGTTAAGGAATTCTTACTTTTAGCAAGGACAGTTCAGGACTGAGGTATCTTATTAGATAAGGATATTACCAACTAATTCTAAGCCTCGATCTACTCTGGTGCTACATTCAACTCACAGCAGACTTGCGTGATGAGAAATGAGACTGTGGGGTTTAGTGTAGAATTATATAGATGAGTGTTCTAACTGAAGACAATCATAATGATTGAGGACTTCGGCAGAGCAAACAGAAGTTGGTTAGATTTCCAGAGAAAGTGCCCTTTCAGTCTTCAAGACACATTGAGATCCTCTAGCAAGACAGGGATGGAAAGATAATACTACTATTCAGTGTATTTCATGAATCTCTGTGTCCTTGGGAGTTCCGTGAGCACTGATATTACCTTCAGGGAGGAGGAATGCCACCTTTGCACCTGTGACTGCTTCTTTGCTATTTCCCTAGCAGTTTCAAATCTATCGTCTTGTTTGACCCTTATGCTGTCCTACTGGATATTTATGTGCTCATTTGTTCATTTATTTAACAAATGTGTATTATTAACATGTGCTTGCTCTGCGCAGTTGCACACCGCCAGGCCAACACAGCTTGATTCAGATCGGGAGAGCTAGGTGGTTTGTCCCAAACTCTCACCACTAGTGAGGGCCAAGTCTCAGGACAAGACCCAAGAGCTTCTAGACCCCTGTTCTCTCCTCTGCCCCACATTTCTGCCCTTCCTGAATTCAGGCAGCCATTAAGACCTCCATCCCTCTAGTCACCACTTATTCACCTCTGCTCTTCAGAGACTGAAACACCACGATGACATTGATGTCATTAGTTTGCTTTCCGGTGAATCTGGATTATGATACACCATGGGAAAAGAAAGCTGTTCAGCAGTTTTCATTCTTGAAACAGTGTCAGTCAGTAGAGGGGAAAAATCCCAACCAGAGAAACCTGGCATGCTCACATGCAGAGCACCTGCAAGCTGGTGTTTGTGATGCAGCCAACCTGGCCTGGAGACAGTGCTTAGTCAATTCTGCATGGAGAGTGTTGCTTCTGTTACTGTTATTATTGCAGTAGGTACTCAAACTGTCTCCACTCAACCCACAGATTAACCCACACCCACCCAGGAAGCTGACTGAAGCCCATAGCACACTGATTATTCACAACTCGTGAGTCACTCTAGAATACCCAGACCCTTCTGCTCCCACCTGCTGAATGGCCATGTTATCTAAAGTCCATGGGTGCTCCCAATTCTGTGAGTGTGAGCTGATCTTGTCATTTAAAACGTTAACTATTATGTTAACTGTCAAGAAAAAAAATGGGTTTGATAATCATGATTATTTCTGTGAAAACTATTGAATATTGGGATGATTCGGGGAATGAATTGCTAAAACCTTTGTGGTATTGAAGTTGAGGTGAATGAGACAACTGTGAAAGGTGGAAGGAAGAAAACTCTAGAAGGCTTCTGCATTTAGACTGCTTTTTGGCAAGTGACTTTTGGTTCTCATTCCATGTTAAAGAACCCGAAACTTGAAATTGTAGGTAAAGCATTCAAGATCCAGTTGGTACAATCAGTAGACCCATCCGCAAAGGACAGCCCCCAGTTTTCCATCAGAAAGTCGGTGTTTCACAGCGAGTGGTGGGTGGCTTGAATATAGGAAAACATGTCACAGGATTGGGATTTCAGAAGCAAAGTGGATGACTTCTACAGCTCAGTTCTACTGAGTTGTAGTAGAGAAAATTAGTAGAGAAAATCTGATTAGCAAACACTTCTGGAATATTGAAAAATGTCCAACTCATAAGATGTTACTTCCGAAAATGGTAGTGCTAGATTATAGCCTCAATGGGGAAAGTTCCCAGAGTAGGGCTCCTAAGAGCTGCCCATGTCTTCAGGACTGGTGACATAACTGGCATAGCCCAGTGAAAATGAAAAATTTCCCCCTTTTGCAAAAATTAATAAGAATTTCATGATGACAATAAAGCATTTAACCCAGCGTGGAGCTCTGCAGAGCATAAGGCCTTGTGCAGCTGCACAGGCCCACGGAGACCACTCTGCTGCCACTTAAGAATTGCCGCGTATTGTGATTGGCAGATCAGTATAACTTTTTTTTTTTTTTTTTTTTTTTTGAGACGGAGTCTGGCTCTGTCGCCCGGGCTGGAGTGCAGTGGCCGGATCTCAGCTCACTGCAAGCTCCGCCCCCCGGGTTTACGCCATTCTCCTGCCTCAGCCTCCCGAGTAGCTGGGACTACAGGCGCCCGCCGCCTCGCCCCGCTAGTTTTTTTGTATTTTTTTAGTAGAGACGGGGTTTCACCGTGTTCACCAGGATGGTCTCGATCTCCTGACCTCGTGATCCGCCCGTCTCGGCCTCCCAAAGTGCTGGGATTACAGGCTTGAGCCACCGCGCCCGGCCCAGTATAACTTTTTAAAAAAAGTTTAGTCTCTATCAGTTTACCATATCTCTCAAGAGTCACCATGGATGGACTTGACCGAAGGTTGTTTTTGTCATTAATTGTAGCTTCATTAAAGAAACACTTGAAGAATAAACTTGTTTGAGAATCTCCTTAATCTTTCTAGGTAACTGTCCTTTACATCTTAATGGTCAGGAATTTTTTCTTTCTTTTTTTTTTCAAGACAGAGTCTCGCTCTGTCGCCCAGGCCGGAGTGCAGTGGCCTGATCTCAGCTCACTGCAAGCCCCGCCTCCTGGATTCATGCCATTCTCTTGCCTCTGCCTCCCAAGTAGCTGGGACTACAGGTGCCTGCCACCACGCCTGGCTAATTTTTTGTATTTTTAGTAGAGATAGGGTTTCACTGTGTTAGCCAGGATGGTCTCGATCTCCTGACCTCGTGATCCGCCCGCCTCGGCCTCCCAAAGTGCTGGGATTACAGGTGTGAGCCACCGCGCCCGGCCAATGGTCAGGAATTTAAAGGCCTAGTTTTTGTCCTTCCACAAGCCTCATGGCCTTCTAAAAATAATACTTTTTTTTTTTTTTTTTTGAGATGAGGGGGTCACTCTGTCGCCCAGGCTGGAGTGCAGTGGCACAATCACAGATCACTGGAGCCTCAGCATCTCTGGGCTCAGGTGATCCTCCCACCTCAGCCTCCCAAGTAGCTGTGACTACAGGCGTGTGCCACCACACCCAACTAATTTTTCTGCATTTTTCATAGAGGCAGGGTTTTACCATGTTGCCCATCTGGTCTCCAACTCCTGGGCTTAAGCATTCGCCCACTTTGGCCTCCCAAAGTGCCAGGTTTACAGGTGTGAGCCACCGCACTCAGTCCCCCAACAATAATATTCTTGGTTCAGTCCATGAAACAAAGGATTCTGAAATGTTTAGATATCTTACTTACGCAAAAGGGTTTGAGGTCCATCTGAAAAAAGAAAACAAAAATGAATACAGGTGCTACAGAATATTTAGGTTATCAGTATCAAAGATGCTGTTTGCCATGGAGCAATGGCATGGAATGAAATTCTCAAGATGAAAGACTTTACACAAACCATAGGTTTTACCTGGGTTCAGACTCATCAAAGGTTCTCACAAGAAAAAAGTAAACAACAATGGATTCATGTTGATTTGTTGAAAAATAAAAGTTAAAATGGTAGAGAAATAATATATACCATGACATAAGCAGATAAATCAGTGAGGAAGATAAAGAAGAGATGAGAGCAAAATTCAAAACCATAAATCAATCATGCAGTGGCTGGAGATGTTCTCTGTGTAGCTTCACGTGATACTGAAGAACAACGGAGCCAGCAGGCAACGATGATGTAGTGAGAACACCTCATGATGGATGGTTTTGCATTTAATCTCATCTCTTCTTTATTCATAGAGATATCTGTTTGTGTCATGGTGTATATTAAAACTAGAGGAACTAGGTCAAGAGTAATCATATGTCTAAGCAACTTTAAATTGCTTATGTTATTAAATAAACATGGTATGTTTTTAATCAGAATAGAATTTTCATTGTATGTACATTTTTTAAAATTGAATGTCCCATTCCATGTACTTTTTATTTTTCACTTTCACTTTTTCTATTAATGAAATAGTGATTTCTCAAATAGGAAGACGTAACTGTGTTGCTATGTCTACTTGTCTGTTGCTGCTACGGTAGAAACCTTTTTATTAGCACTTGGTCAGCAGTTGCTGAGTTACTTAAAAATGTCATCTTATAAGTTCATATCTTAAACTTTTTTTTTACTTAAAACATATACCTTATATTTACACACCAATTATGTTTTAGTATAAACCTGTATGTACTGGCTAATTATAGTGTCCTGAGCCCCCTATTTTTTTTTTTTTTTTTTTTTTGAGACGGAATCTTGCTCTTGTCGCCCAGGCTGGAGTGCAGTGGCATGATCTTGGCTCACTGCAACCTCCGCCTCTTGGATTCAAGCAATTCTCCTACCTCAGCCTCTTGAGTAGCTGGGATTGTATTTTTAGTAGCCATGGGGTTTCGCTGTGTTGGCCAGGCTGGTCTTGAACTCCTGACCTCAGGTGATCTACCTGCCTCGGTCTCCCAAAGTGCTAGGATTACAGGGGTGAGCCACCATGCCCGGCCTCCTGAGCCCTTTTTACATTAACCATACCATCTAATTTCCAGTTTCTATTTCTTCAGTGTGAAATGAGAAGTTACAGGTATTTGAGAGCAAAATCCTTCCGGACTTTTACTATTTCCTTTTCCTGTTCTTTTTCTTACTTTCTCACTTCTCTGTAGCCCTGGGAACCGTCTCATTGTCATATTTGTTTTCTCGAATATTTTGAGTGATAATGTCGGTGCTGTATATTTTGTTTTGGTTTTCTGTGGGGTGAGTGGAACCAGCTTGCTTCTGCGCCGCCATTTTGAAACCAGAAGTCCTTCCTTTTTCTTTTTTCATAGTTTCCTTGCCTACACCACCACACCAGTTGAACAGTTTGTGGTGGTGGTTTCATTTTGTTTGTGTATGTGTGTGTGTGTGCGCGCGCGTGTATTTTTCAGTAACTCACTTTTATTTGGGTCCTTGCAAAGCATTCACTTTAGTTTTTATAGAAACATTTCCCATTTTTTCTCACTAATATTTCACTGCTTTGCCCAATATTTAATTAAATTTCCTGACGAGTTTATCTGGTGACAACAGACTTGAGAAGGAACTTGGTAAGTAGTGGGAGCAGAAGGGCATAGATACAGTGGTGAGTAGACCCTCACTGGAGTATGCTGTGTGTCTGGCAGTGTGTGGAGAGGGGGTGGAGAATGTGCTGGGTAGGTGGTAAACAGGAATGCCAGCGGGCCTCCCCCACTGGGGGTTCTTAGACAAGTCTTGCCACTGCCCGTCTTGGAGGACATCCCACACAACTGCCTATGGGAGAAACAGCATGAGGCAAAGACCTCCTTCCAGGACTTTGGATTTGTTGCTCATACTTGAAATCCTTGTGTTTTCATGGGCTTTTCCTTGTGTTTTGGTCTTGGCTTCTCTAGAGGTACCCAGTGGGTCAGGGGAAGGCTCCTCAAAGGAATTTCCTACATGCCTATCGGTATTTTAGTCAGGCCATCCAAAACATGCCTTCCAAATTTGAGGAAAATCTCATATGGAGTGGTAACAAAAACTTCATTTTATTCGTATGAATTATTACTAAGCTGAGTCACAATGGAGAAGAAAAAGGTAGTGAATCATGAGGAGCCATTCTGACATTCCTGGCCCCTGATCAAATGGAAGGATTCTGTTTGTGATGCTGAGTGTTGGGGCGTTTCTAGATCTGCTTGGTTTGTGGTACTTTCCTAGACCAACGACTAGGAAATTTCTGTCTTTAAAATGGAAGAATCATAAGAGCTAGCAGGTTTCCTAACATTTGTTGGGCTTTCTGTTTGTTTTTCAAAACGTCCGCTGCTTAAAGACTGGCCACATCTAGTCACCCACAAAGAAATGATGATAGAACCCCCTAGGGACAAAACACCCTTCAGAGTTCAGAAGGGAAAAGTGATTTATAGGACTTTTTTTTTTCCATTTTAGTTTTGTGAATCTCCTTTGTTTCCGGAAGTAATTTTTTTTAATGTTAAGGAAATTGATTAATCACTACTGAAAGCTGAGCCCACATGGCCCCATGATCCTCCAGGGCTGAGCCGTTAGGGACCACGAGGAACCAAGGCATGCAGGGTGACAGGGCCTCAGATGTGAGTCCAGAGAGGAGAGCAGACTGAGGTCTCCTCCCTTAGCTGTGCTTGTTCTGTGTTGAAAACACACACACACACACACACTCTCTCTCTCTCTCTTTTGTAACATTTGAATCTTGTCTGTGATTCTGTAATCCTGGTGTGCTCTCTTGCCAGTATCCCAGAGTCCCACATCACAGGCAAATGGTAAAGCATGAGTCTGCCCCTAGGCTTGCTCATTTCTCATCTCTTCTTCTCCCCTCCTTTCCTGTTCCTCTTCTCCTCCTCCTCTTCCTCTCCTCCTCCTCTTTCTCCCCTCCTTCTCCTCCCCCTTCCTCTCTCCTTCCTCTTCCTCTCCTCTTCTTCCTCGCCCTCTCCTCTTCCTCGCCCTCTCCTCCCCCTTCCCCCCCACCTCTTCCACTCTTTTTCCTCCTCTTTTCCTCTCCCGCCTCTTCTCTTTACTTCTTTTGTCTTTCTTCTCTTTTCTCTTCTCCTCCTCTCTTCTCTGCCCCGCCCTCCTCCACCTCAGTGGGCCTGGAGGTTGACAGCGTGGTTCCCTGTGGCCCGGGGCTGTGGGAAGCCGGGAAGCCGCCCTCCACTCCTCTCGGGAGACCCGTCCTCCGGGCGCTGACTCACCCTCCCCGTGTTCTCCCTTCCTCTCCCGGCAGGAAATGTGACTGGAAACAGTAACTCCACGTTCATCTCCAGCGGGCAGGTGATGAACTTCAAGGGCGACATCATTGTGGTCTACGTCAGCCAGACCTCGCAGGAGGGCGCTGCGGCGGCGGCGGAGCCCGTGGGCCGCCCGGTGCAGGAGGAGACCCTGGCGCGCCGCGACTCCTTCGCGGGGAACGGCCCACGCTTCCCGGACCCGTGCGGCGGCCCCGAGGGGCTGCGGGAGCCGGAGAAGGCCTCGCGACCGGTGCAGGAGGAGGGCGGGGCCAAGGCTTGAGCGCCCCCCATGGCCCCAGCGCCGACCACCCAGGGATCGATCGGTACAGTCGAAGAAGACCACCGGGCGTTCTCCGCCCACCTTGCCCTCCAGGAAATGGGCTTTTCAGCAAGTGAATTGATGAGGACTCTCCCCAGGCCCACGGATGCTCAGCAGCTCCCCTGCACTGGGGCAGATGCCTCTCCTGCCGCCCCTCAAACTCGCAGCAGTAATTTGTGGCACTATGACAGCTATTTTTATGACTATCCTCTTCTGTGGGGGGAGGGGGGGTCTGTGTTTTCCCCCCATATTTGTATTCCTTTTCATAACTTTTCTTGATATCTTTTCCCCCTCTTTTTTAATTTAAAAGTTTTCTCAAAAATTATCCTAAAGGTGAGGGTCTCTTTCTTTTCTTTTGCGTTTTTTTTGTTTTTGTGTTTTTGTTTTTGTTTTTGTTTTGGCAACCTGGCTCTGGCCCAGGTTGGAGTGCAGTGGTGCCATCATAGCCCAGTGCAGCCTCTAACTCCTGGGCTCAAGCAATCCAAGTGATCCTCCCACCTCAACTTCCGGAGTAGCTGGGATCACAGCTGCATGCCATGCCCAGATTCTCCCCCTCCCCCGCACCGAGACAGGGTCCCACCATGGTACCCAGGCTGGTCTCAAACTCCCCAGCGAAAGCAGTCCTCCAGCCTCAGCCTCCCAAAGTACTGGGATTACAGGCGTGAGCCCGCACGCTGGCCTGCTTTACATATTTTCTTTTGTGCCCCTTCTCACAGTGTTTTGGAGATGACTTTCCCTGTGTGTGTTCATTGTAAGCACTTTAGGGAAAAGGCTAAACATGTGAGGCCGGGAGATAGTTGCTGGGAACATGTGGTGGGACTTCCATATTCTGAAAAATGTTCTGTATTCTCATTTTTCTAAAAGAAAGAAAAAAGGAAACCCTATTTTTTTCTCCTGAATGTTTTTAAGTTTGTGTCGGTCCTTAAGCAGAACTAAGCTCAGTATGTGACCTTACCCCCAGGTGGTTAATTTTTCCACGCTGGCAGAGGCACTCAGGTACTTGGTAACCAAATTTCTAAAACTCCAAGTTGCTGCGGCTTGGCATTCTTATTCTAGAGGTCTCTCTGGAAAAGATGGAGAAAACGAACAGGACATGGGGCTCCTGGAAAGAAAGGGCCAGGGAAGTTCAAGGAAGAATAAAGTTGAAATTTTAATTTGCATTTTCTTTGTCTAGATGAGAATAGCATAAATGGATCCTCTTTTATTCGTACATAATTGTGCATCTGTAGGTTGGCCTTGTAGAAGTGGAAAACATTCCATTTTCCAATGCATTTAAATTTAAAGCCAAACCGCATGTTGTGAATTTAAGAAAACTTCTTATCCTAAAGGTGTCTTTCTCTTGGCATCATCCCCTTTGTGAGAAACCTAGAGGATGGTCCAGATGGAAGGAAATTCCCTGGTTGGTTTTATCTTTTGTTACTCAGTGAGCACTAGTTCCCTGCAAATACTGGAGAAAAGCAAAAATACGCAAGCAAGTTAAAATTAATTTTGTACATCTGGTAGGTTATAAAAGAAAGCACTAATAGTGGTCACTGCCCAGACTTTATTGGCCACAAATGCCCAGCTGAAGAGCATGACTGTGGATCACTGGTTTTTCCCTCCTGCTGGAAATACTGGGGTGGTAGCGGTCAATTAGGATTTTCAATGGAGAAGCACAGGACAGTTCTGTAATTTATGGGACTCCTTAGCCAACATAAAGAACTGCAGGAAATAACTGCACAGCCAGGAGGATCTGTCGGTGGGAATTTACTGTCATTCCTGCCCTTTTACTTAACATCATCCACAGGGAGATGTTATACAAATGGAGGAAACCATTATACCTTTTGATATGGAATATATTACAGAGTTACAGTTCACAAAGTAGACCTCTGAGCTGAAAACCCGAGTCTCTGCTGTGACTGTCATCTCACTGAGCACTTCGCCTTTCTTTGCTTTTATTTGTTCCTTCTATAAAAAGGCAATAATGATAATTTATAATAGTTTCCCTACCCAGAGATATCAGAAGGATGCTACAGTGAATGTTAAAGTACCTTGAGCTCCTTAAATCAAAGGTGCTATATAAATATGTAAGACTCTACTTTCAGAAAAAGGTAATATTCTTTCCTGCACTGATCCCTACTAATTCTGTATTGATCCAAAGGCAACTATATGCTAAGAAATGTGTAGAAAATATAAGTCTGTGTCTGTGTACTATAGAGATATATGTGACAAGTATAAACAAAATGAAGCAATAATGAACAGTTATTGGGGAAACATGATAAAGAGATTATATTAAACTTATATTTGACCATAAAATCCTTTTTATGGCTTGCTCAAACCGGGCTCACTGTAAAATCATGATCCAGCTTATTGCTAATCTTTATGATATGCTTATTCCTAATCTTTATGGTATGGTGTCAACCGTTCATTTGTATCTTATTGCAGGTTCCCTGGACCATAGACAAGGGACAGAAAATACTTGCTTTGATAATATATATGCTGTTGATTTCACAAAAATTTCTTAAAATACAGCCTGGATACCCAGTGAAAGAGCTGAAACAGAAATGGAGTATCGTGTTTCCTACTCATATTTTACCCAGCTGCCAGAAGAATGAATTTCTCAAGATCAGTTTGAATGTGATAGATCAGAACCTTCATGTGGTGGGGAAAATGGGATTCTTTCAGTGTAACCACCCCAAGACTTAGTGGCTTAAAGTAGTCACCATTGGCCAGGCACAGTGGTTCATGCCTCCCAGTGCTTTGGGAGGCCAAGGCAGGAGGATCCCTTGAAGGACAGTAGTTAGAGATCAAACTGGGCAACAGAGTGAGACCTCATCTCTACAAAAAATACAAAACTTATCTGGGCATGGTGGTGTGCACCTGCAGTCCTGGCTACTCAGGAGGCTGAGGCAGGAGGATGCTTAGACCCAGGGGTTCAAGGCTACTGTGAGCTTTGATTGGGCCAGTGCACTCCAGTGGAAAAACAAAACAAAAACAAAAACCACCACTTATTTAGCTCCCAATTCTATGGGTTGGATCAGCTTGGGTGGTTCTTCAGGCCTGGTCCCAGCCGGCCTGGTTTGCTTACCCATTTACAATGACCCAGCTGGTTGGCTGGGCCAGGCTGTGTGCTCTCCACCTGTCCCCCATGCTTCCAGCCACCCAGCTGGGCATGCTCTCATGGTGGTGTTGAGCCTGAGAACAAGCAGAAGCCTGCCAGGCTTCTTGAGGCCTAGGCTTGTACTGGGACACTGTCACTTCTGCCACATTCTGTGGGCCAAAGCAGGTCACAAAGGCAGCCTAGATCCAAGGGATGGGGGAACAGCCCATCCCCCCACGGGAAGCGTTGCAGAATGACAGGGTAGGGGGTGGACACGTGGAGGGGAAGATGGCGCCATTGCCGTCTGTCCACCACAGGGCACTGCGTGGAGTAAAGGTGCTGCAGAGAAGAGTGCATCTGGGAACAAAAGAGGAACATGGCCCAGCCCCTAACCAGCGAGTAGTTCCTTCTCTGGTGATTGAATTCCCTTAATGCACAGCACTGTAGATTCCCACAATGGGAGGGACACCCACATTCATATTTCAGTGCTGTGTCAAAATTCCTTCCAGAGCCAAATATAGGTGATTTGGGAACTGAGCCCACTGTACTACTTCCGCATTCCTTTGGCACAGAAAATTGAAAAGTGACAACTTCTAAAATCAAGAAAACTGGTGAGATACCTTGGGGTAGAGGAACCTGCATATAAACAGATAAAAGATCTAGTGTTCACCCTTGACCCCAGCTCAACAAACAGAATCTTGTTATGATTATACAAGGGTGAGCTTGAGCAAAGGTGCTGTCTTTGGTGGAAGAAACGTAGTTTTGAGTTGTTTGCTCTTTGACAGTGTCTGATGGCATGTGAGTTTTATGCATCTGCTTTGGGGCGCGCTGGGCACAAGTTGCCTAACCCGCTTTGGAAGAGGAGACAAAGCATTCAAAGCCCTAAACACTCTGTTGATAAGTCATCATGTTTATGGAGTATGCTTTTAGTGGCAGGGCCCTGAGCACCTGGGAAAGGAGATGAGGAGTGCTGGAGGGTTCGGAGCAGAGGAGAGGAGACAATGCTCTGCTCCAAGCACCAGAGGAGGCTTCTGGAAAGGGGCCATCTGTGGGATTCCTCACCCCTTCACCCTGCCGGTAAAGTCTTACAACCACTAAAGCTTTGCCAGAGAAGAGGCGGGACCTGACATTGGGGAGTGGCGGTGCCAGCCGTGAGCACAGGTGGGGTCTAGGTGGCATCACTGAAGCCAAGCTGAGCGGTGCAGGGGGAGCCACCCTGGACCGACACCCCCATGGCTGCCCCACTGCAGAACTGCCTACTGCAGCAAAACAACCCTATGTCCCCCAAAGTTTCAACAAAGAGGAGGATCGAATAAATGTCCCAGTGGGCAGGCACCCCCACAAGACTTGCTGCTCCTCCTGACACACCCGCATGGCTCTGCACAGCTGTGAGTCCAGTTTTCTCTCTTCCTACCTCCCTCTTACCCCAGTTATCCTGACCCCAGGGTGGGATTGAAACTCATGCTAGGCTAACATCTCTTTCCTTGATCCCATTCGTAAAACTGGCATACAGGAATGCTTTAAAAAAAATCTTTAAGATTACCAATAGTATAAAAGTTAAAATGACAAAATTACAGGCCTGTGACCAGATCTTCGTACTAACCAAGGAGCTGGTGACACTACCCTCTTCCATGTGTGATAGAAAATGCAGACGTTTTGCAGACAGACCTGGTTCATGACTCAGCGCTGCGACTTGCGGACTTACCTTGTGCAGCTACATCACTTCTTAGCCTTGTTTTCAACATGTGTAAACAGAAGGTACTAATATTAGTCTTTTGTGCTGGTGTGAGGATGACGTGGGATGAGAGACAACCAAGGACTCACTGGCAGTTCCTAGAAGATTCCAGTAGTAGGGATCTGACCGTCCTACACCACTTTCCCTCCCTGTCTCTGACACTTGTTCATTCCTGGGCACAGGAGCCATCTCAGTCATCACGTCGGACCACATAACTGTAACCAAGCTCTGCTGCCCACCTGGAACACCTTCCCACTCTTTGCAACTAGGTCGGAGGGACGCACCTTCTCCATAGACAGTTGGCAGGACTGCGATGGTTGACCCAAAAGTTGTCATCTTCTGACATGACACACTGAGGGAAGTAGACTTACCCAATATAACTTCACGTTATACTGTCTTAAAAGACTGTGATTCAAATGGGCATCAGTGGGCCTTTCCCTTGTAGCCCAATATGTAGGGCATGAAGAATAGCCGGACGTGAAGGTTGAAAGGCTATGTGGGCTGATTTCTCTTGGTGTTCCTCGTGCCTCTCCCCATTTAGGAAGAATAACAAATCGACCACCGGCTCAGAGGAGGTGGCATTATAGGTCC